CTGCGAAGCCGGGCGTCAGACAGGCACCTGTTCCGGGTGCGGGACTCTGCCTGTGTAGAGTTAGCCACAGGGTGGCGCGCAGCCGGGTCTGGAGGTGCGCGCTCCTGGAGCGCCGGCGCGGGCCTGCGGTGCGCCCTGGGGCTCCGGGCAGCTTCCCGCCACGGGGAGCTCGGCCCTGCACCCCTCTCACTCACCCCGGATCCCCACTATGTATGTGTGTGAGCGCGTGTGTTTTTATTTGCGAGGCAGACACACAGAGTGACGTAAAGAAAGGATCAGCCGACTTTTCCTGTTGAGGACTTGTGCGGAGCCAAGCGCGACGGCGTGACTGGCTAATCCTGCTCTACTTCACGGGCCGGGATCCCCTGCGGGCGCTCCGTGTGCACTCCGTGTCCGGCTACTCCACTTCCCTTCCAGCTCCCTGCTTGTGGCCTGCGAAAGCAATAGAGAATAACTCAAATCCTTGGGACCCTGCATCCACGTGGGAAACCTGGAAGAAGCTCCTGGTTCCTGGGTTTGGATCAGCTCAGCTCTGGCAGCTGTGGCCACATGGGGAGTGAACCAATGAAGGGAAGATCTTTTTGTCTCTCCTTCTCTCTGCAAGTCTGCTTTTCCAATAAAGATAAATCCCAAAAAAAGAAGAGGAAAAAGAGGAAGAAAAAGAAGAAGAAAAGGATAAAGAAAAGGAACAGAGAAAGCATTTATGGGTAGGTGTTGCAGACTTTGCAGCCCATTGGATTTGTTCTTGGGTTTCTACTACAGTGCCCAAATCCCACCATTTGTATCTTGAATAGGGCCACAAAGTGTAAAGAAATGGCGGTGGCTCAGTGTTGAAGAAATTCTAGAGCACTGCAATTTGAGTTTCCTACTACTTCCCCATTTTTAGAATTCATTTGAAATACAGAAAGATGCAGACAGACCTCTGTCCATCTCCTCTCACTGCTTTGGATTCTGTACCTGGACATCAGCCAGGATCGGGCCTGGGGTGAAGTCTGGAGCTCATTCTAGGTTTTCACATGGGAGGCCAGGACCCAAGCTCTTGAAGTGTCACCGCTGCCTCCCAGGGTGCACCCCAACAGGCTGGTGGGAGTGGGGGTGGAGGAAGAGCTGACTCTCGGGAGGGCTAGGATGTAGAAGATGAAGGTACTCAGAGGCCACTGCTCATGCGGCCCACTGTGGACTTCCCTTCCTGGAACCAGGGACCAAGTCCTTGAGTCATTTCCCCAGTGTATCTCCGAGCTCCAACACAAAACCCTATGTGCGTTCCAGCAGCAGTTGGGAAATGAATTATTCAAGAGAGCATCTTGTACATTGAACATGTTTGCTCACAAAAATGTGGCACATCCAGAAAAAAAAAAAAAGACAAAAAACAGAAGCACAGCCAAACCAAGCGAATAAATAAATTTTTGGTAATCCCGCCAACATCGAGATAACACGGTTCCTGCACATTTGGAGGCAGTCGGTGACAAGAGTTTAGGGGAAGGCTATTTCTAGCCAAGGGAGTGGTGAAAAGTTTTGTTTCCCTTCAATCCGCCAGAGACCTGGACTTCTGTTCCCTTTAAGATTGTGCAGATGCAGGGTTGGACCGGTGGGGGAGCTGAGAGGAAAGATGGGGAAGGGCAGGGGAAGTTGTCTGATGAGCAGTTAATGAGTTCTCACCTCAATGGGCCACACTAGACCCCCAGGGACAAGGCTAGAGGCCATGCTTTCTGACTTTCCAGTTGAAAGGGCAGCCAAGAAATTATAAATCACCAAAGGGAACTTAAGAGGGCTTAGGAGTGAGTGGGGAGGAGTGGAGGTATAGGGCGGGGGATCTAGCTAGCTTCATCTCAGAGGCCAGCAAGTGCATTCCTGTTTGAGGAAGCCACGGCTGGGTAGGATCCATTGAGCAAGCAAGTGGGAAGTTCCCCACCTCCAGTGAGCTGGCCATCTGGCCCCAGGGGAGAAGAAGGGGAAAGCAGGAAGTGCCATGAGATCAGCCAGCCAAAATTAGCAGGCACCTAGCAAAAGAACACTGTCTGGCCCAGTGTGGTGGCCTAACGGCTAAAGTCCTCTCCTTGCCCCCACAGATTCTGCTGTCAGACCTGCTTCTCTCTTGTTCTCCTCTTCAAACCAATTTGGTGTCACTCCCCTACATATATCGTGGATTTATCTATGAAGTCCCTCAGCTGTAATTCCTAACCTGGGCATAAAAACCACAGGTTATCTCTCACTACCACCTGTGCAATCCCATCATCCTGCTATAAATCAAGACCCTCTAACTGTGATGGTGTGTTGCTGAGCAATCCTGGATTCTCTGCTATGTTTAGTTGTCCTGTTGCTGCCAATGGAAACTAGGCTTGGGCTGCTTGCTGCTTGAAAACCGGTGTTCAAGAGACAAAAGTCAGGTGGCCTGGCACAATGGCTCAATGAGTAAATCCTCACATTGCTGGTACTGATATCTCACATGGGCCCTGATTCTTTTTCTGGTTGCTCTACTTCCCATCCAGCTCCCTGCTTGTAGCCAGTGAAAGCAGTTGAGGATAGTCAAAAGCATTGGGATCCTGTACCTGTGTGGGAGAGCTTGAAGAAGATCCTGGCTCCTGTTTCAGATGGCCTCAGCTCTGGACCTTGCAGTCAATTTGTGGAGTGAATCAATTAATGAAGGATCCTTCTCTCTGTAAATCTGATCTGCCTTTCCAATATAAATAAATAAATCTTACAAAGAGAAAGAAAGAAAAAAGAAAGAGCCTAGCGGCTAAGAGCCCTGTGGACGAGTAGCTAAAGTCCTTACCTTGCACATGACTGGATTCCATATGGGTGCCAGTTCATGTTCCACCAGCCACGCTTCCCATCCAGCTCCCTGCTTGTGGCCTGGGAAAGCAGTCAAGGATGGCTTTAAGTTTTGGGGCCTTGCACCTGCATGGGAGACATGGAAGAAGTTCCTGGCTCCTGCCTTTGGATCAGCTCAGTAAATCAGTAGACAGAAGATCTTCCTCTCTGTATCTCCTTCTCTCTGTATATCAGATGTTGCAATAAAAATAAATAAATCTTTATGTATATATATAATAGTGGACACACAGAAATGGGTTATTCAGCAAGCTAGCATTCGGGGTGGGGGTAGGAAGAGGCAGATCTCTTTAGTCCTGTTTATGCTTTTCCCAGTTGTAAGCTAGCAGGAGGATTTCTACAAGGAGGACTTCAGCTGGGAGCAGAGGGAGGAGATGGGAATGACCGGGACAGGATGGGCCAGCTGCACATTGGCCTCTGGCCAGGGGATAAGGGACTGCACATGGAGTGGCAATGATAACCCTCATTTGTGCAGTCATAAATCCAGGCTTCTGGATGTGGTGACCAGTGAGGGCCAGATGACCCTGCAACTTCCGTTGGCTATCATAAGGCTACTTTCTGGAACTCTCTGGGAGCATGATTAATCTGTTGACTTGAACGCTAAATAGTCACGAGCTCATTTAACTTTAGTTCATCAGCATGCACAAAGGAAAAAGAAGATATACTTATCACACTGCCTTCCTGGTGTCCTGCTCTTCACTCCTCTCTCTCAGCCCGGCGCTGGGTGTTTTGCGGGATGCCCTGCAATTTGATCTTGCCTGATGTGTTGTCCGATTAGTCCCAAGACGTGGCTTTCAGGAAGGAATTGGTAGTGATGCGGATGGCCGCTGGACCATCTCCGGGGGCGTGTGACATTTAGGTTTATTACTTACTGTCAGCCTCAAGCCTTCTGTTCCAGTTTTTTCCTGTTTTCCCTTTTCTAGACTTGGTCTTGGTGATTCTGTTTTTTGTTTGTTTTGTTCAAGATTTTTAAAATTTTTATTTAAAAGGCAGTTCTAGAGAGAAAAGGAGAGACAAAGATCTATCCGCTGATTCACTCCCTAAGTGGCTACTGTGGCCACAGCTGAGCTGATCCGAATTCAGAAGTTACCACGCGGGTGCATGGTCCCAAGACTTTGGGGTGTTCTCTTCAACTGCTTTTGCAGGCCACAAGAAGGGAGCTGGATAGGAAGTGGAGTAGCCGGGACCTGAACTGGCACCCATTTGGGATCCCAGTCCTTGAAGGGAGGAATAACCAATTGAACCATTGGGTTAGGCAGTACTTGGTGATTTTTTTTTTTTTAAGATTTTTTTTTTTTATTGGAAACTTAGATTCACAGAGAGAAGCAGAGACAGAGAGAAAGATCTTCAATCCGATGGCTCACTCCCCAAGTGGCTACAACAGCCAGAGCTGAGCTGATCTGAAGCCAGGAGCCAGGAGCCAGGAGCTTCTTCTGGGTCTCCAACGTGGGTGCAGGATCCCAAGGCATTGGGCCATCATCCTCTACTGCTCTCCCAGGCCACAAGTAGGGAGCTGAATGGGAAGTGGAACAGCCAGGATACAAACTGTTGCCCATATGAGATCCTGGCGCATGCAAGACAAGGACTTTAGCTACTAAACTACCTTGCCATTCCTTACTTGGTGATTCTTAAATCACTTAGTCCAGTTCATGCTTTAGGAGAGTCGGGGGAAGGCTGGATCTGAACGCAAGTTGGAAGAAAATGCACTCTGGCTGCAGTGTGGGATGGGACTTGGGGATCAGGCATCGACAGGTGGATTTGAGTGTTTCTGGGAGAACAATTGGGCAAGAGTTGCTGGAGATTTGGTACCACAGGCAGGCAAACTTTGCTGAGGGCAAACCAATGGGTGAGAAGCCACTTTCTGCTTCTCCATCTTTCCTTGATTTGGAAAGAAAGGATGGGTGGAGACCCTGCAGGTTAGTGCGGCAGGATGAAGATGTTATAAAGGAGATAGGGATTACCAAGAAGGGCTCGAACCCCTTACTCGGAGTTGCAGGTGAAAGAAGAAAGGGGCTGTGAGAAGGAAAGCACCTCCAAAGCCTTCCCTTCCTCACCGTTTGAAGGATCCATCTAGGAGCCTGGAATGAACTGCTCAGCGACTCGGGGGTTTCAAACCAGTCATTTTATTTGCTTTTTTCGTGTTACAGCCACCCGCCCTTCCCTGGCCCCCCTTGATCCTTTGGCGGACGGACGGGCGGCTTCCCCTCTCAGCATCATCTCCGCCGGCGGACCCCGCGCCCGGGTTTCTTTTCTCCCCGGCGTCTACGGGCAGGCATGGGAGGATCGGCGGGGGTCGGGGCCCGGGGCGCGGGTCCCGGTACCGGCCGGGCTGCACCCGCGGGCGGAGGTTTATAGACCAGGTGGAAGATGAAGGCGTTGCAGTACCTGGAGCGGCGCGTGGGCGGGATCAGAAGGGGGCTCGCCCAACGAGAGGGTGAGGAGTCTTGGGGGGGCTGGGAGCGGGGCCAGGAGTTGGGGTGGCTCCTGTGAGGCGGGTGTCATGAGGTGTGAGAAGGTGGGTGGCAGAGGAGGGCCGAGCAGGACCCCTGGGCGCGGGCACAGGGGCAGGAAGGCGGTGAGGGGTGGCGGGGCCCTCACCAGGGCATGCAGTTGTCGGCGGCTCGCAGGCGGAAGGGGGAACGGAAGGGGTTGGGCCGTGCGGGGCTGGTGCCCCCTCCGGTGGCCACCGCCATGGTCTGTTCGTCCATCACGCAGCCGTACTCGCTGCTCTCGGTGAAGAAGGCCGGCACTCGGAGCGACTGGGCGGCGATGGGAACTTAGAAACTCGGGGAGGGGATGCTGCTGCACACACACACACACACACACACACACACACACACACACACACCCCTGCCCGACCCCACACAAACACACACCCTGAACCCCCAGGACTGTGAGGTCCCTTCCCACCTGTAACCGGGGCAGAGAGCTCAGCCAGGTGTCCTTGAGACCGAAGCCAGAGTTAAAACCTGCCAGGCGGGCAGTAAAGACGGACAATAAAGAGGCTGACTTCTGCCGTCTTCCCCTCTCTCTCACCTTCCCCACACCCTTCCCACTGAGCCCCAGGGTTCTCACCGATAACCAGGTCCGGCTTGGGCCCCTGCAGCAGGTGGTAGGGTCTGGCGCACACCTTGATCTGAAGATCCCTGCGACCCCCTTTCTCTTTATTCCCAGAGATGAGCCTTGCTGATGCCGCAGAACCAGGCCGGACCGACACCTCTGGGCCATCCTGAGGTGGAGGGCGAGAAGCCATGGTAAGTCCAGAGCACTGGAGGAGGCAGTTGGGGGCAGGGTCCCATCTGGAGGCCCATAGTAGGGTTGGGGCCTCACCCTTTGCAAGGTGAAATGCTGCTGGTCACTTTCGGGGGGCAGGCCGTCACCCACAAACTGCAGCTCCAAGGCCACGTGGGGGAGCAGGACCAACAGCTCCTGAGAGACAAGAGGAGGCTGCGTCTGGGTCCTGCGCTTGCATATGTCCCTCGTATCCAAATGCCCGGTCCCAATGCCCAGCCATGGGGCTTGGAGGGACTTTACCCAAAACACCATGACGAGGTCAAACTCCTTGCTGGCCTCCACCACGTGAATCTTCAGGGACTGTTTGTTCTGGATGTTGAGCTCAGGGACTGAGTGAGAAGCCAGCTCTGAGGCTGTGGTCTCTCTCATGGCCAACTCCTGCACCTGCCCCCACCCCGCCTCTGGCCCCGTCACCCGCGGCTCCGTACAGGACTGGGGCACCAGGTGTGTGATGACGTAGTACACAGTCAGTGGATAAGTGAGCAGCACAGCCATGGGGGAGTCCAGGCTTAGGCCCCGCCACGTGTAGTAATCCTGCCATGAGGCTGGGGAGAGGGCGTTCCTGGGGCTTAGCCAGATCCAACCCCTCCCGCCCGATAGCCCCGTCCTCCTCCACCACGCGGACTATGCTATGGGCCTTCCGGTCCCTGTCTCTATCCCAGCTCCCTCAGGATCCTGCCAGCTCACCAAAGAGACTCCTGGGTGGGTCTAACGGCACAGGAGGCATCAGGGCGGGACCCTCCCCCTGGAGAAACTGGTAGGGATCTCCTGGAGGGGGAGAGAAGGAAGAAGAGGAGCCTGGGGTCACAGGGACCTCCCCCCTCCGACAACCCTCCTGACACATCTACCTCTTCTTTCCAAAACAGCCGAGTTCTCCAAGAGAGAGGGAGAATGAGAGAGACAGAGAGAGAGAGAGAGGCTACAGCCAACTGAATGGGGGGTTTGTCTCCCGGTCAGGCTCCGGTGTTGGTAGAGGTTGTAAGTGTGCACAGGGTGTTGTTTGGGACCCAGACAGCTCTCATTCCCTAATTCTTCCCTCTAGGTACAGTGGCCCAGGCCTGCAGAGAGAGATCCCCTACGTACCATTGAGAAGAAGGTTGGGGGTCGGCATGCTGCCCCGGGGGTGCCCAGCGCTGCCGGGGCCTGGAAGCAGCATGCTGATGTGGGTCCAGTAGCCACGAGTGAGGCCCCGGGATGCCAGGAAGGCCTCCTTATTAAAGGTTTCACTGGTCACTTCTGCAGGCGGAGGGAGGGAGAGGTGGAGGGCCTGGTGGTTGGGATCCCTAACTTGAGCTGCTCTCCTCTGTCTCCCCCAAGAAGCCCTGTGTCTGCCTCTGGCCCCGGCCCTGGGCATTTCCCACTTTGCTCCTAGGCACCTTGACCCCGATGCCTCTGGTCACTCGGGCCTCCTTCCCCGATACCTGCGGTATAGGTGAAGGGCAGCGCTGCCAGTTCCCCTGCCCGGTCCATGAAAGCTGCAAGCCTTGGGCACCAGAACCGGTGGCTGACATCATCTGGGCATCGCCGCCAGTCAGCCCGCAGGCAGGCCTCTCCACAGTAGAGGACAGCGCTGCATTGAGGGCTGGGGACACACACACCAGGGCGTGGGCACCTCAGGTCCTGGTGCTGTCCGTCTGCCCCGGCCACACGCCACTCAGCCATTTGCCTGTTTGCCTTCTACCCTCGAACTGCCTGGGGCAGCTGGGTGCTAGTTTGCTTTATGCTTTCATCTTCTTGCCTGCCTCTTGGTCTGCTGCCCACCCCGTGAGCCCGCCTTCTCCCCAGGGGCCTGGATGCAGCATGCTGCTTCTGGGGGTGTCTTCTTTTCTTCCTCGACTCTTACCCATGTGGGCTGCTCACCAGGGGGTCAGCTTCACTTCAAAGCTGTGCCTGTGACAAACGTGGCAGGTGCGAGCCCGGAGGGAGGCAAAGGTGAAGCCAGGTCGGGGACCCCATGTTCTCATCGGGGTCTTGGCTAGCTTTATCCCCAGCCTTGGCACCAGGCTCTCCAGCTCTCTGCATGGGGGTGTAGATGGCATCAGTCAGGGGGAGGAGTGGAAATCCAGGCTCCCTGGCCTTCCCCTCCCCCTAACACTCAAAGACTGGGTGTCTGTACCGATGCAGTGGGGCATCTCCCACAGTAAGCTGCCGGGGTTTTCGAGGCTCCCCAGAGCCCATGGGGCAGGCCATGCTGTGGCAGAGGAGGGCATAGGCCCGAGGGGCTAGGTTCTCGGTGCTGGAGCCCTGGCCTGCACTCCCCTGAGTGCCATCCACTAGCAGGTCGATGCCCAGGATGGTGCCATGCTCATCCGTGACCAGTAGGAGACAGGACAGATGCAGGGGGGCAGCATCTGGGGAGACAGGCAGAAGCCAGGTGAGGGGTGAGGAGAGACAAGGTCAAGGTTGGATATCAAGCTTGAATGGCTGTTGCAGCTAGGTAGCAAGGGCCCAGAAGACCTGCCCCACAGAAGGAGTCAGGTGCCATGCACAAATGCAGGCTGTCTGCTGTCAGAACCTCAGATTGTTCTGGAAAAAGATGTACATCCAGACACCCAGATGTGCGTTTTCCTCCATCACTGTTCAAACATTGACTCCAGTTAAAAACCGAAACACACTCCAGGACAATGTATGCCGCTTTTCAGGCCAGTTGTGATGTTCAGCTGGGTTCTGAGTGGCTGGGGAGTGGGGGTCCCTGGGCAGACCCCAGTTCTTACCACTTCTGCGTGGCCTCCTCTTCTCAGTTCCAGCCATCTCCTCTGCTCTGTCCTCTCGGCAGCCATCCTCACCCTCTCTGGCCTCCTTCTTGGTCTCCTCCGAAGGGTTGGATTCCCGCGGGGATGCCCTGCTGGGAGGGGCTGGCTCCCTGCCCTCCTCGGGCCCCACCTTCTCCATGCCTGCCCCCTTCTCCTGTCCATGCTCTTCATCTTCCTCCTCCTCTCCATCCTCCCCCTCCTCTAGGCTGACAAAGCTGACATAGGGGCTGAGGTCTCGCAGGTGCAGGGGAGGTTCATCACCCAGAAGCCGGGCAGCCTCCAGGCCTGGGCCAGGGCCCGGCTCCACCCCTTGCCCTAGGCTGATGCCCACATTGCTGTTGGGCAAGACGTGCAGTACCCACAGGGCAGAGTCCTGGGGCAGCCTCCGGACCTGGGCCTCCAACTGTCGCCAGCGGCCCTCCAGGCTGGCTCCCAGGGCACCCCGCTCAGCAACGAACTTGTGGAACCAGCCAAAGAGCAGGGCAGCGAAGTCAAGGAACTCATCCCGGTATCCGGACACAAACTCCATGTCTCCAAGGCAACCGTGCCAGGGCCAGGTCTGAGTGGACCAAGGGAGGGATCTGTGAGTGATGAACCAGGTTGGGGCTGGTTCACAAGTATGGGATGGGGCACGGTTTGCAGAGCCCCTGTGTGGAGACCCCCTGTAGAGGACTGTTAGCAAGCGGGCAGTGAGGTATCCTCAGCTAGGATGGAGCTAAGGCAGGAGAATGGGAGGCGGCACTTGAACGTGGGCCATTAGAGTTGGAGATGAGGAGTTCCGGATGAGATGAACTTTAAGACTGAAACCCTAGGTTTGAATTGAAGGTGGAGAGAAGGGAGGTTGATCCTAGGGGAAATAGTCTGAGAAGTTTGGGTTCAACAACCCTGGGACACAGGAAGGAACAAACGGAGCCGGGGTATCCCCCGGAAATTCGGCTATAAACCCCAAACAGACCTAGCGCCTCTCTGGTTGCTCCCACTCCTCCGGTACCTGCAGCCGCTGCCACCTCCTTCGAAAGTAAATACCTCGGGGAAGGGGGAGGGCCGTGACGTCGGGGCGCGTGTCCAGGGCGCGCTCCTCGGATGCCCAAGGTCCACCTCCTCTGGGCTCCAGGAGCTCGCGGGCTTTGGCTGCAGCCTGCGAGGACGCCGCGGAGCGCAGGTGTGCACTCCCAGCCCGGTCCGCTGCGCCTTGGTGGTGTGGCTAGGGCCGGCGGAGAAGCGAGCGACTCGGAGATGCCAGGACATCCTGGAGACTCCAGTGGTCACGGGTGTCCCAGGTCGCAGCTGCGTGCCGCCGCACTCGTCTCACCGTTGGAGTCTTCTTTCGGTTTCTTTCCTCCTGTTCCCATTCCCCGAAGAAGCCCGGGTGCTCTGCCTCCTGGGGTTTCCCCGAAGAGGAGGCGCGTCGAGTCCGGCCCCTTGGAACAAACCTTGCAACAGGGATCAGTGCAGTAAGTGCAGTGTGGGGCGCCAGACCCGCGTCCATCGCCATTGGCCCTTTCGGACGGGGAAGGAAGCGAAAGTCGCCAAGAACCCAGCCTGGGGTCAGGCTTTGGAGCCTGTGTGGGCGTGAGGCGAGGCGAGAGGAGGCGAGCAGCTGTGTTCCCGGTTAATTGCTGCCACCCAGCAAGATGGCCGGGGGCCGCGTGTCCCTGCTCCTGCTGCTGCTGCTGCTGCTGAATGAGCGAATTCGGCCAGGTGAGAGTCGGGGCAGGTCTGGGAGTCCCTGGGCGCAAGTCCCGGTCTCGGGGTAAGCGGCTGGGACAGGGCACTCGCTTAGCGGAATTCCCTGGGCGGCTGTCCAGTTCCCCAAGGCGGCCCGGTCACGAGAACAGAGGCTTCCCCAGAGTGGGGGTTAAGAAGGCAGGCGGGCACGTGGGTCCAGGTGGGATTACCTGACTTCTGCAGGGTGCTGTGTGTGGGTGGAACCTGCGGAACAGACACGGGGCAGGATGGGGCAGGATGGGCATGTGCTTGGGGGCCCACAGCAGGCGGGACAGAGGGGATTCCCCAGCCTGGGAACCTGCACTGACCACCTCTGTCCCATTCAGGCTACACCAATGAGGGCAGTGTCGCTGGCAGCTGTAGCTGCGATGAGCGAATTTCTTCCGGCTCCCCGCCGTCGCCAGGGCTGATGGACCATCTCCAGAAGCATCTCCGGGCTTACCAAAGCTGTACAGGCTACATCAGGTGACCCCTCCTCTCAGACCCTCACCCACTCAGGCAGACCCAGTGCCCTCTCCAGGTTGCCCTGGCCTGCAGTTCTCTGTAATCTCTCTCCACCTGCTGGGGACTTTCCCTTGACTTCAGGCCTTTGGAATGAGGAAGCTGCCAGAAGAGGGACAGGGACTGGGACCAGGACTGGGACAGGGATGGAGAACTTCAGCCTAGAGAAGGACCTTGTCCCCACAGGTTCCAACTGCGCAGGAGGAGTGTCTGTGGCGGCAAGCAAGACGACTGGGTTCAGGACTTGCTGCGATGCTTCAGGCTGCAGGGTGAGAGCCTCCTCAACCTCCCCAAGCTCAGCGGCTTCCACCTTGCCCTTGTCTTTGCTTCTGGTCTTTCCTCTGGGACACTATAGGTTTCTAAAACTTTCTCTGCCTTAAGTCCTTGATAGCCAAACCTGGCTCACCATCCTCTTCATGGTTTTTGCCAATTTGACACCTGATGGCTATGAACTTTTTATTTTTCATGAAACAGTTCTATGGGCTGAAGGATTTCCCTTTCTATGCTCCATGAACATTTTTCAAAACACAGTACTGTTTTTATTAATGTAAAAAATTTTATTTATTTTTATTTGGAAGGCAGATTTACAAAGAGAAGGAGAGACAGAGTGAAATATATTCCATCCACCAGTTCACTTCCCAAATGGCCACAATGGCTTGAGCTGAACAAGTCGAAAACTAGGAGCCAGGGGTCTCTTTTGGGTCTCCCACGTGGGTTCAGGATCCCAAAGCTTTGGGCCGTCCTCTGCTGCTTTCTCAGGCCACAAGCAGGGAGCTGGATGGCAAATGGAGCAGCTGGGATACCAACCAGTGCCCATATGGGATCTCAGTGAGAACTGAGCCATTGTCTGGACCCAGTTTTTGTAACTTTTTAAAAGTTTTCTTTTTTTTTTTTTTAAGGATTTTTGTTCATATGTTGGAAAGGCAGAGTTACAGAGAGAGGGAGAGACAGATAGAGACAGAATCTTCCATCCATTGGTTCACTCCCCAAAGAGCCATCACAGGGAGGACGAGGCCAATCTGAAGCCAGGAGCCAAGAGCTACCTCTAGATCTCCCACCTTGGATGGCAGAGGTTGAAGCATTTGGCTATCCTCTGTTGCTTTCCCAGGCACATTTTGAGCAGGTCGATTGGAAGTGGAGCAGCCTGGACTTGATCTGACACCCATTTGGGATGCCAACCTTGCTGATAATGGCTTTGCCACAACATCAACCACCTCAGTTTTATTTTACTTATTTGAAAGTGGCCGTGAGACAGAGAAATCTCCCTTGTGCTGGATTGCTTCTCATTGCCCACAATTGCCAGACTTAGTCTGACTGAAGCTGAGAGCCAGGAATTCACTCCAGGGCCATGTGGGTGACAGGGATCCCACTGGCTGAGTCACCAATGTGCTGTGTTCAGGGTCAACAGAAGCGGGAACCATACTCCCAAGGAGAGCAGGACTGTAGCCCAGTCCTTGAACACAGACAGCAGGTGGCCCAAGCGCCAGCTGCACTGCCACCCAAGATACCCATCCCTTCTTACTGTCAGTGCATGTTGAAGGTGCAGGCATCATTATATTTCACCCCAAATGATTTCAGCATGTTTATTATGAAATAGAGTTCAATATTTTATTAATCCTCTTAAAAAATTATGGGGACAGTGTTACAGCATTGGATTAAGGCATTGTCTGCCATGTGGCCATCGCATATGGGTTCTGATTCAAGTCGCAGATATTCCACCTCAGATCCAGCTCACTGTTAATTGCCTATGAAAGCTGTAGAAGTGGCACAAGTGTTTGGATCCTGCCATCCCCAATAGAAAACTGGAAGAAGGTCCTTGCTTCAGCCTGTCCCAGTGCTGGCCACTGTGGCCATTTGAAGGAAGTGAAGATGGACTATCTGTCTCTTCTCCACCCCCCTCTCCTCTCTCTGTACCTCTATTTTTTTAGAATGATTATTTATTTGAAAGAGTTAGAGAGAGAGTTTTGCGTTTGCTGATTCACTTCAAAAATACTTACATGGTGCCTGGCACAACCACTGAGGTGATCTTCTGCTGCCTCCCTGGGTGCATCAGCAGGGAGCTGGATGGCAAGTGAAGCAGCTGAGACTCCAATGGGCACTCTGATACGGGATGCTGGCATCACAAGTGGCAGCTTAACCTTCCATGTCACAACACTGGACCCAAATACACAACCATTAACATAGATAATGTTCCCCCACCTTGTCCCTGAATCTGTCTTGTGCAGTGTTTGTGGCATCCTTATCACCCTTCTGACCACACAGGCCTATGTTATCTCACTTAGTTCTCTCAGCTCCCCGAGCCCTTGGAATTAACACTGTTCCAACTTCACAGCTAAATGGAGGGAGTCCCAGCCAGGCTAGAGATCAGATCCTGATGGGCAGTGCAGTCAGGGTTGCCAGCTGGCTCTCCTGGCTTTGCAGTTCCCTAGGCTCCCCTAACTCAGTGGGGCCATCTAGTGGTCTGCTCATGTCCCTGAGCCCAGCCTGTTGCCTGTGCTGCTGCTTTCCTCTCCTGCTCTTCAGCTGTCCCCTTGCTGTTGTCTGGACCCAACAAGCCTTCCTCCTGATGGGGCTTGGAAGATAACACACTGAAAATATAGTAACCTGGCAGCAGGGAGAACCACAGAAGCACAGAGGTGACTCTGGGCTCCCCTCCTCTATCTCTGTGTGTGAGAGAGCTGCTTGCTTGTTCTGTGACTCAACCTGCCTCATAGAAGGTGACTTAACCCTTTCTTTTAGTGGGTAGAAAAGGATGAGGACAGCCAGGCCTGGTGGGTTGCCCCTCCCCTCAGGGTTCTGCTACTGCCCAGGCATGCTTACACACAACACACTATTCAATAAACTTAAGTGTCAACATAGTTTTTTTCTGCATGCTCCTGTGTTATACAAAACTTGGACAATATGCATTTGGGGTCTTTGGTTGGGTTCACCAGGTTTTTGTTTTGTGTTGTTAGGTTTGGTTTTGGTTCAAAAGGTTTTGTACAGGGTGGCTGCCCTGACTCTGTGTGTTCACTCTCCCATGCCCTGTGCCCGCGTGAACCCGCCTCCTCACCTCTCTCTCTCTCCAGAATGTGGACATGCCCACAGGAAGGACCTGGCACAGTACCAGCATTTCCCTCCTGACAACACTCAAATCCAGGAGTCTCCAGATGAAGCACCTGCACGTGTGCACACCACAGCCCACACCAACCCGGCGACCACCCTGCAGTCCACCCAGATCCCCGGAGTACCGGGCAATGAAACCACCACTGTGCCTGGGAACCACAGCGTGGGAGCCGGGCCTGAGGCTCAGGAGGACCAGAAACATCTCGAGGAAAGCTTAGGTCCTGCAGCTAGGACAACAGCCACTGTGCCAGTGCTGAGCCTCCTCGCCATCACCCTCCTTCTCGCTGGAGTTCTCACATATGTTCTGTGCAAGCGCAAAAGGAAGAAGCTCCTGCAAGGTACTCCAGGTAGACCCACTTCAGAACACCTACCCCAGGGGACAGGCCTCTCTCTGACAGGGATCCTGATACCCCGACCCTGTGGCTTCTTCTGCCAGAAGTGCCTGACCCATGTGGAGGGAGGGAAGTCACCATGGTTCAGGGACCAGTGCTTACCTAGAATGCCAGGCAGAGAATGGTGACATAGGATGGAAGCTCAGCCAGCTGAGTGGGAGATGAAGCTCGGGTGAAGACACAGGTCCATCCACTCCGTTCACAAATCTGTACTGCATACCAGTTATGTACCAGGCCATAGAGTTTTATCTTTGGGGGATGAGGAGTTAAGATTTACCTTATTTATTTGAATGGTAGAGACACAGACTAGAGAGAACTTCCATTTGCTGATTCACACCCTAAGTGACCACAAAGGCTTCAACTGGGCCAAGCCGCAGGCAGGAGCCTGGAAGTCCATCTGGGTCTCTTACACAGGTGACAGGGACCAGGTACTTGTGCCATCTTTCCCTGCTTTCCCTGTGCATTAGCAGGGAGCTGGATCAGAAGTGCAGCAAGATTTGAGCCCATGGTACCACGGGGCTGCCCTCGGTCCATGTCTTTTTTTTTTTTTTCAGACATATTTGTTTTTAGTTGTTTAGTTATGTATTTAAATTTTTTTTTAAATTTTATTAAAAGGCAGATTTACGGAGAGATGGACAGACAGAGAAATATTTTCTGTCTGCTGGTTCACACCCAGGTGGCCACAACAACTGAGCTTTGCTGACCTGAAGCTGGAGCCAGGAACTTTTCCGGAGATCTCCTACACAGGTGCAGGGTCCCAAGGCTTTGAGCCATCCCTCCACTGTTTTCCCAGGCCACAAGCAGGTTGCAGAATGGGAAGTGAGATACAGCTGAGATACAAAAGAACACCCATATGGGAGCCGATGTAAGGCAAGCATTTTAGCCACTAGGCATCATGCAGGCCCAGACTGTGTCTTTAAGAGTCTGAGTTTCAGGTCTAGCCTGATGGCTCAACAGGCTAATCCTCTGCCTGTATCTCACATGGGTGCCGATTCCTATCCTGGCTGTTCCACTTCCCATCTCGCTCCCTGCTTATATTGTAGGAAAGCTATAGAAGATGGCCCAAAGCCTTAGGATCCTGCACCCATGTGGGAGACATAGTGGAAGCTCTCGACTTGGGATCAGATAAGTTCTGATCATTGCAGCCATTTGGGGAGTGAATCACTGGGTGGAAGATCTGGCTTTTCTTCTTTCTTTAAATCTGCCTTTCGAACCAAAATAAATAGATGTTTAAAAGATTCTGACTTCCTTTTTAAGCTGTCAATCCCATCTCCCCAAGTTCCTTGATCATCGTATACATTTTTTATTCTCTAGGTGTGCATTATGTGTCTGTGTAATCAATTTCAATGTCTGAGCAGCAAATGGAAGAATATGAGGTGAGTTTTGCTTTTCTATTTATCATATGAAGAGGGTCTAGCGCTATGGTTTCGTGTGTAAAGCCACAGCCTGCAGCACCAGCACCCCACTTGGGGCCGGTTCTAGTTCTGACTGCTTCACTTCCAATCCAGCTCCCTGCTGATCTACCTGAGAAGATACCAGAAGCTGCTCCAAGTCACCGGGACCAGTCCAGCCATATCAGAGACCGAGAAATCCAGGCTTCAGACTGGCCAATTTCTAGCTTTGCAGCCTGAACTAGAAGGCAAGAGTACCTATCTCTTGTCATCACAATTCTTCAATTACATTCTATTCCAAAGAAATAAATCTTTAAAGCAAAATATCAAAGAGGTCTAGTGGGGCCCAAGATGGTAGCTAGTGCCAAAAGTCCTTGCCTTGCATGTGGTGGGATCCTATATGGGTGTGGGTTCTAATCCCAGAAGTCCTGCCCCCTATCCAGCTCCCTGCTTATGGCCTGAGAAGGCTAAAGTTTGGCCTAGCTTTTGGGCCCTGCACCTATGTGGGACACCCTGGGGAGTCTCCTGGCTCCTGGCTTTAGATCAGCTCAGGTCTGGCCATTGTGGCCACTAGAGAGGGAATCTGTGGACAGAAGATCTTCCTCTCTGTCTCTCCTCATCTCTGTATATGTGACTTAAAAAAAAAAAAAGAGGCCTAGTGTTGCTGTACTGTGAGTTAAGCAGCCCTGTGATGCCAGCCTGCTATCCAAGTGCCAAGTTGATTCCCAGCTCCTACAGTTCAGGCCTGGGAAAAGCAGAAGGGTCCTGCTTGGCAGAATGAATCAGTAGATGGAAGGTCTGCCTCTTGCTCTTTTTCTGGAACTCTGTCAAATAAAACACATGATGGCTGGAGGTTTTCTAACCAGCACAGGTACAAAGAGCCAGGTGGGATGGCTCCCTTGGGGAAGGGAGACTAAGTGGGCCTTCGGGATACCCTATCCTGGGGATTTTGTTTTACAGCCAGGTGTGTTCAGGTGGGCCGCATGGCTCCCTAGGGGTGGGGAAGGAGCTCAGCAGGCTTCAAGGTGAGTGGTTGTAGGGGAGCCCAGGGGGGGAAGGGAAGACCTTTAAAGATCAGTCTGAAGCCCCAGCACAGAAAGACCTGAGCTGTGGTAGTTAGCATCGACTATCACCGAGCACCACTCACTGGTACACACTAAAGACAAGGCTGGGGCCTACTGGACAGGGCAGGATCACAGTAACTGCTGGGGTCCGTGCACTGGGTGTGGATGACATGAAGGCGTGAAGAGAGGAGCTGCCCTGTTGGCAAGGCCACGAGGAGCTTCCAGCTGTATGGCAAGGCCTGGCAGATGTCTCTCCAACCACCTCAACACAGTTTCACTCCCTTTTGCATGGACATTTAACCACCCCACTAAGAATTCTGTAACCTATTGAGGCATTGTTGTTTGCCCGATGTGAGCTTGGGAGTTAATGTTGCTGATCATGTCTTGGTGAGTGGTTCTTTAACAATTTACAATAAAGTCCATGCCATTTTAGGAAACCTTATTGTGTGCCTAACCATTCCCTTAGAATCTGGCCCAGACAAGTATTGCAGCTTCTAGGGGAGGGCTTGATAAGTATCCTGAATATATTTTTCTTCTTTCCTTTTGTTCATTTTTATTTTTTATTTTTAAGTATCCTAAATATTAATGAAAGCGATGGGACTATGGGCTGAAACTGCTATGGCAATAAACACAGTTACTGTGATGTTAAAGGCTAGCTGGTCTTTGCAATTTCTTTGGAGTATTGGAAACATATCAGTTTTAGCCTCTTATGTAATTTTTGGCTAGAGGAATTAAAGGATGCTTTTATTAATATTACAGAGATAGGCTTTTAATTATTGTTTTATTGTTTATGGGGTTATAGAACCTGTAGCTGTAGGGGGATTTAATATTTGAAACTTCTGTCTTGGATTTTTATGATTTTTCCCTTGTGACCTATTTCTCCCAATAAATGATGGGCAAGTGGTGGAAATAGAAATGTTGTGGGAATGTATTACTGATTAGCAGATAATTGCATGTGCCTTGGCCTTGGAGTCCTGGCTGTCACCCAAAGGCTATTACAGAAGATTGATAATGGCTTACTTTGAAGAAACTGATTATAATAACTTACAGAATTATCTTTAAAAGCACCTGGTTGATCATGAAGTAAAAAATTAATTTGTCCTGTATCTGTGCATGCTGGCTTAGTTCTAAAGTTAGAGATAGCAAAATCAAACATTTATACAGAGGCCTGTGATGTGTCTGAGTAAATAAAAAGGAGAGCTTCTTGAGCTGTTATGAGAGGGCACCAAGTGATGGTGTCTGTGTCTTTTCTTTTGGCAACTCCACACCCCCTTGTCGAGCTCTAAACTCAGCTGGAGCCGGCCTCCGGCAAGTAACCAAGAATATGATAAGGAGAAAGGTGAAGTTAGAATGGGCCATGATAATAACTAGTGTGTGAGAGAATCAGGCCTTGTGGCAGAATCTGTGTGGAATAAGTGGCCTCATCCCGTGGAAATGCAATCTCCACTGACACAGCCAAGAAATGTGGACGAGAACAGGCCTGCCTGGGGAGCTAAGGGGATGCCCCAGCTGTGTTGGGAATCCCACTGGTGAGCATGAGAACTGGGTTGAGGGCAGCAGGCTGGGCTGGCCATGGTTATAGCCTCCCTCGGCACGGGTGTGGACTGGGACTGCGGAGTGACAGACTGGGCTACATTCCAGCACCCACCGGTACTTGTGAGTGTCAGGGTGGGAGTAGAACGGGCTGGGCTAGGTCTTGACTCCCGCTGAACCATGTAAATTTGTTCCTGGGCATGGACTAGGTGTGACTAGGCTTCAACAACCAACAGTAAGAACCAAAATGGGTGTGGGCTGGCTGAGCAAGGCTACTGTTCTGGCCAGGACAAGAAGTAGACAAAACCAGCCTGGTCCAAGGACCCACTGATGTGCCCAAGATCTGCCTCTGGGAGGAGACCCAACAGAGGATCTTTTCTAGGGATGCAGTCCATGCAGGTGAGCACCAGATCCAAGTCAAGAAGCAGCTCTGACCAGGCCAGCTTACACTACCTGCCAGCCTACATGTGGGTCAGGTCTGGGGACAGACCAGGCTTGACCAGTTCACAACATGCACTGGCAGATCTGAGAACCAGCTCAGGATGTGGGAGGGGCCAGGTCAGGCCTCCACGCCAGCCAGCTCACACTGGGGATGCTGAGATGAGGTGAGCCATGCCAGCCTGGGGTCTGTGGGAGCCTGGTTTGTGAGCCACAATGGGTGGGGAATCTGGTGTGGCTCAGTTGGATTGGCCCAGGTCCTGGGCCCCCTGCTTGATGGGTGCCAGGTTCATGAGCCTTGTGGATGGGGGATCTGTCGCGCCTCGGGTCACCTGGTCCTGGTCCTTGAACCTGCCTGTGAGCACAAAAGATGGAGCAGTGGACACAGTTATTGATGCATATGGAGAATATGGCAGCACCGTTGGTACTACAGGAGAAGAGCAGAGCAAATTGGAAATTATGCCAGCAAGTTTAGCTGCACTTTAGCTGCTAGGCTACCATCCAGTTTCTTCCTTCGTTCCTTCGTTCCTTCCTTCCTTCGTTCCTTCCTTCCTTCCTTCGTTCCTTCCTTCCTTCCTTCCTTCCTTCCCTCCTCTCTTTCTTTCTTTCTTTCTTTCTTTCTTTCTTTCTTTCTTTCTTTCTTTCTTTCTTTCTTTCTTTCCTTCTTTCTTTCTTTTTCATTTTTTAAAGACTATGTCATCAATTCTGTCCTTGCCTGGGTAGTAATAACTTTAACAGTTTCTGAGATTTTTGTTTGTTTGTTTTGCGACTACAATTATTTTCATAGCTGTAGACACTGGCTTAGATCCCTGCCTCCTTCCCAGGGTGCCTGCCTGTCCCAGGTCTGTGTTCACACTCCTCCAGCTGACCCACCCCAGCCCTAGCTGACTCCTGCTTCTCCCCTAATGCCTCAAGTGAAGGCCTGGCCTTGCCCTCCCTCCCTCAACCAGCTGCTTTCACTGCCTTAATCCCTGGCCCCATCCCTTTTCCAGGAAACAGTCTGATTTCTTCTTTTTCAAAAACTCATTGTTGCTTTTATTATGTAAACCCTTAGTTCTTGTTTCACCTCCATTAGGAAAGAAGAACGCCTCCTCATGGGGTCCAGCCAGCAGGAAGCTGGGCTTGCTGTGGTGAGGACCTGGGTAGGGCGCCTGGGAGAGCGCCTCCCTACTGCTGTGCAGAGCAGGGGCAGCTTGCTGAGTAGCAGGGCCACAGGCCTGTCCATCTCCACCTGCTGCCCCGGAGTCCTGCTCCACCCTGCCCAACACAGCGTGTGGGCGCCAGGGGTGCTCTCTCATCCCACCAGTCTCCAGGTTCCACTGCTCCCCCACCCCCATGAGGTGCCAGGGCAGGTCTCCCTCTGCCTGTGACCTTAGCTCTCCAGCATCTGCTCGCAGGTGCGGGCCACATCACCGAGTTTGAGGCGGGCATAGTCCACTCGCTTCAGGGCCATCTGACAGTCCTTCCTGCAGGAGTAGCTGGAGCCCTCGTGGGGCTGTCCTGTGGCCACCTGGGGGACAGTTAGCTCTCCTTAGTGGGCACACTGTCGCTGGCCCATCCCCAGCTTGGCTCTTGACTCGGTCCAGCCCCCACCCTGCAAGAGGAAGAAGTGCATCCCTGCCAGGCATCTCCCAAGGCTGAGCCCCAGGAGAGGTGGGGTCTCCCTTCCAGCACTGCGCCGGGTGGGGGGCCTATGCCAGTGTGCGTGCATGCTCGCCTCCAGTTCACCTTCACTCCTGCCATCTGCTTGTCGCCTCCCCCACCTGCACTTGAAGAGATTAGGAGGATGTGGGGATTAGAGAATGGGAGCCCGCACTTGAATGTGGGGCATTAGGGTTGGAGATGAGGGGCTCCAATTAGGTGAAGTTAGAGCCTCAAAATTCAAGGACTCAAACCCTGGGGTTGAATTGAAGATGGAGGTGACAGAAGAGGGTTCATCCCAGGTGGTATTGTCTGAGAAGTTTGTTCTCCTCTGGCTCAGGTGGTGCATCCAACCCGAGTCTCTGCAAGAAGTGCAGCCCAGACAACCCTACAACACAAGAATATCTATTGAGGATGCAGGCAAAGGAACCAATCAGCTGGGGTCAGATTTCATTTCCTTCAGAGAGTGACACCCAAATGAGGGTTCAAATGGTTTTTATAGATGGGCGTGTGTGGCAGCTGTGGGACGCAGGTGAGCTGGGCAGCCTTGGGAAGTTGTTTGATTTACCAACCACCTGAGAAAGAAAATACTCAGCCAAGTGCATCATGGGAATCAAGATTACTGGCAGAGCATTTTGCATCTTGTACTTTGGCCTCCAAACAAGAAGCTGGCAAAGGCCAGGTGCCATGGCCTAGTGGCTAAAGCCCTTGCCTTGAACGCACAAGATCCCATATGGGTGCCGGTTCTAATCCCGGCTGCTCCACTTCCCATCCAGCTCCCTGCTTGTGACCTGGGAAAGCAGTCGAGGATGACCCAAAGCCTCAGGACCCTGCACCCATATGGGATACCTGGAAAAAGTTCCTGGATCCTGACTTTGGATCAGCATAGCATTGGCCGTTGCGCTCACTTAGGGAGGAAGCCATCGGACGGAAGATCTTTCTCTGTTTCTCCTCTTCTCTGTATATCTGACTTTCCAATAAATAAATCTTAAAAAAAAAAAAAAAGAAGCTGGCAAAACATTTTGTACAGAAGCATAAACAGCACATTTGTAAACACATTCAGGCCTGAACCAAAGGGACTGCACACTGGGACACGGGAAGGGGGAACGAAGCTGGAGCATCCTCTGGGCTTTTGTTCACAAACCCTCAGTGGACCAAGAGCCTCTCTGGCAGCTCCCACTCATCTGATACTTGCAGCTGCTGCCTGGGGAAGAGGGAGGGCCTTGATGTCGGGTGGGGGGCGTGTTCATAGATGTCCAAAGCCCGCCTCCTCTGGGCTCAGGCCGGTGGACTTTGGCTGCAGCCTGTCATAACATCATGGGGCACAGGTATGCAATTATTGCTGGGTGGAGCTTCAAGGGAGGATCCTATGGCTGGAGTGTCCAAAGGTCCTCTCTGCTGATGCTGGCCTCACCTCCCCCTTGAAGTTTTCCTTCCCACATTACTGTTCCCATTCCCCAACAGAAGTGTGGCACAAGATTTCTTCCTCCCAGGTTGTCCCTGCTATGGAGCTGGGAGTCCTGTCTGGTCCTCTAGGTTGACCAGAAGTGTCTGTGTGCGGAGTACAATGTGGGCTGCCAGCATCCTGTTCCACTGCAACCGGATCCTCTTGGAGACATAGAAGGAAGCTAAAGTCGCCGAGAAGCCACCTGCGGGACACAGTCCGGAGCCTGAGTGGGAGTCACAACGAAGAGGCAGCTGTTTTCACTGCTAATTGCTGCCACCCTGCGAGATGACAGGGGGCCGTGTACTCTCGTTCCTGCTGCTGAGTGGGCTAACTGAGCTGTCCCTGCAAGGTGAGATTAGGGGCAGGTCTGGCAGTCCCTGGGCGCGGGTCCCAGACTCAAGGTAAGAGGTGGGCACCAGACTCAAAGTAAGAGGTGGGCACGAGGTGCTAGGTGGAATTCCCTGGCCGAATCCCCAAGGCAGGCTGGTCACGAGAAAGGTGGCTTCCCCAGTGTAAGGCATCTGGAGGAGCATGGACTCTTGGGTCCAAGTGAGATTACCTGACTTGTGCAGGGTTCGGTGTGCGGGTGGAACGTGCAGATGAGAACTAAGCGTATGGGTCAGGGTGGGGCATGTGCTTGCGTGCTCACAGTGGGCAGTGCAGAGGGCATCCCCCAACCTGGGACTTGTGCAGACCGCTTCTGTCCATTCAGGATATGCCAATGAGGGCAGCCTCTTCGCTGGCAGCTGTCACTGTGATAAGAGAATTCCTTCCGGCTCCTCGCTGTCGCCAGGGCTGATGGACCATCTCCAGAAGCATCTCCGGGCTTACCAAAGCTGCCCAGGCTACATCAGGTGACCCCTCCTCTCAGACCCTCGCCCACTCAGGCAGACCCAGCGCCCTCTCCAGGTTGCCCTGGCTTGCAGTTCTCTGTAATCTCTCTCTACCTGCCGGGGACTTTCTCTTGACTTCAGGCCTTTGGAATGAGGAAGCTGCCAGAAGAGGGACAGGGACTGGGACAGGGATGGAGATCTTCAGCCTAGAGAAGGACTTTGTACCCACAGGTTTCAACTACCCTGGAGGAGTGTCTGTGGCGGCAAGCAAGACGACTGGGTTCAGGAGTTGCTGCGATGCTTCAGGCTGCAGGGTGAGAGCTTCCTCAACCTCCCCAAGCTCAGTGACTTCCACCTTCCCGTTGTTTCTGCTTCTGCTGTTTCCTCTGGGGCTGTATAGATTTCTAGAACTTTCTCTGGCTTAAGTCCTAGACCACCAAACCTGGCTCACCATCCCCTTCATGGTTGGTGCAAATTTAACACCTCATGGCTATGAACTTTTTATTTTTCATGAAACAGTTCCATGGGCTCAGGGATTTCCCTTTCTACCCTCCATGAATATTTCTCAAAACACAGTGCTGTTTTTATTAATTTTAAGATTTTATTTATTTTTATTGGAAAGGCAGATTTACAAAGAGAAGGAGAGACAGAGAGAAAGATATTCCATCCACCAGTTCACTTCCCAAGAGGCCACAATGGCTGGAGCTGAACAAGTCGAAAGCTAGGAGCCAGGGGTCTCTTTTGTGTCTCCCCTGTGGGTTCAGGATCCCAAGGCTTTGGGCCGTCCTCTGCTGCTTTCCCAGGCCACAAGCAGGGAGCTGGATGGCAAATGGAGCAGCCTGGATACCAACCAATGCCCATATGGGATCTCAGTGAGAACTGCGACACTGAGCCATTGCATTGGACACTAATTTTTGTCACATTTTATTTATTTATTTATTTAACTTACATATCTCTTTTTAAAAAATTTTTAATTAATTTATTTTTAAAAAATATATCTTGACTATCTTTACATAGTTAATTAGGTAAAAAGGGTCAAGGGCTACAGGAAAGTGGATAAGACTAGTATTTTTTCCAAATTGTTTCCTTCATGTTTAAATGTTGGTATTACGGGAGAAGGCCCACCCAATTTTCCACCCTCCCCAGGTCCCGGATGTAGGGTATTCTCTGAGGTTCTTGCTCAAGTGGTTTTGATATTTCAACAGTTATGAATCACTGCCAATCTTGCCACTCCAAGCACTATGAGGTCTTCGAAAAATCCACTGATTGACATAGTCCATCATAGAGTCTCTGTTTGCCCCATATTTCGCTGCCAAAATATAGCTGGGATGGTTGGTTGACTTGTTCTGTCTTCTCTCTTTTCTTGGTTAGGGTTTTGAGTCCAGCATTTAGATTGGGGAGATCTCCAATGAAACTGTCTGAGGTGTTCAAACCAGATTCTTATATGTACTAGCAAGTACAGGGCCCGGCACAGTCCATTGCCCTGATCAGCTGGCGGTTGCAATTGCTGGGTTGGTTCTGTTTCCACTTCCGACTTCCACTGGAAGCAATGGGTGTTGCAGTCCAGCCTGGTTCTGCCCGGCACATACTTAGCCCTCACATAAACCAGTGGGAGCTGCAGCCTAGTTGCAGCGACCCGCAATAACCCCCACCAAGCCCACCCCCTACCCTGGTTTGCCAGTATGTGTAGCAGTAATCCAGTCTGTCCCACACCCCATTCCACCCCAGGCGCTGTCTTAGTTTTATGTCCTCCCGTGGAAGTGGTAACCCAAGAGGGATGAGCCCACTATTTCCCTCCCAGGCCTCTCCCACTCCCGGATTATGCACTCTCCAGGTAGTTCTGTGGTTTGACTTGACAGAACTAGCCCCCAGCGCCAGCTTCTGCCAGCTGATGCTGTGGCTAAGCCCAAACAACCCTTACCCACTCTAATTTTGTTTGCACCAGTAGGAACAATCAGCCCAGCCTGGCTTTTCCCTGATCTAGTCCACATGAAGCCCACAGGTGTTGTAGCCCTGCCTAGTCTGGTCTGCCCCATCCCAGCCCACGCTCTCCTGCGGGAGTAGCTGTCCAGCAGGGGAACCCCACCATATTCCCCCTGCAGGCTCTGCCCCCTCCCTTCCTTGTTCTCATGCTTGCTGGTTGGGCACTGTGGTCCCTTCCAGTACAGGCAACCTCACCTTGGCATTTTGTATTGTGCACTAGTCTTTGTTGCGACCGAACCTGGCTCAACCCGCACTGTTCTGGTGTTTGGATTTGTCAGTGGATGACGTGGACAGATTCAGCCTGGTCTTTCCCCGACCGCTGCCAAATGCATGCCAGTGGGTAACTTTCCATGGCCTGTTCTGGGCTGTTTCCTATCATGTTTCTTGCGCTTACCTGCCAGGTCTGTGTCCTGCCAGAGGAGTTGCCCAGGCTCCTCCATCAGAACTTCTCCCAATGCCAGGTTTCACGCTTACCAGGGTGTCCATGGCCAGTCCTACTCAGTTCACTTCCTGTCCTAGCAGGAATAGTGGCTTTTCCTGACTGGCCTTTAACCCAAGCTGGTCCTTGCTGTTGTATGTTTCAGCCCAGCCATGGTTTGTCCCTACGCACATATGGCTCACACATGGCTCATTAGGGGTTTGAGACCTTAGTCCATCCCTCATCTATCCCGGTGCTCCAGAACACCAGAGGGTGTTGGAGTCTGGCCCGGTTCAGTGCATTCAATCCCAGTCCACACTTGTGCCAAGGGAGACTACAACCGTTTCCCGTTCAGAACGCATCCCCCATTCCAGCCCATGAGCCCCTTGGTGGGAATCTCAACCCAGCTGGGTTGTACCCTTAGCTCCCCAACTGGGCCTGTTCCCAGCCATAGATGACACGCATGCCAGTGGTTGCTCTGACTCAGCTTGGCACAGCCCCTCACCTGTCCTGACCCATGCCTTAGACACTGTGGCTTAGCGTCCCTGGCTCACGCAGACCAGTAGGTACAAGAGCCTGGCTCGGCATGACCTGTGTTCTGTCCTGGTCTCTAGTTTTGCTTGTGGGCTAAGATTTGCTCGGTCCTGCCTGATCTACCCTGTTCCATTTCCTATTGACACTTTTGCCAGCTGTTGGAGCTACTTTGCACAGCTTGTCCAACCCCCAGGTCTGGACCACATGTTCACCAGCGAGAGCTATGACTCGTCAGGGGAGTTTCCCAAGTGCTTCCACTTGATTCAATCCCTGACCCAGTTCTCATACATGCCATTGGGTTTAGGCCAGTGCCCAACACAGTCTGGCCTTCCATTTGGCCTTGTATGAGCTGGTGAATGTTGCAGCCCAGCCCACCCCACACCCTATTCAGGATGCACATTTGGGTGCTGCTGCCCTGAGCAGTCCAGACTATAAGGGTTCCTTTACCTGTGATTAATGGCAGGATCCTTGGTCACACCTAGCTTAGTACATCACCGCCCCAACTCTTGAGATAACCCAGGGGGCTAGAATTTTCACAGGATGTGACCCACACATCCCTCACAGAATTTATCTCCAGTTATGGTTCTTGAGTGCTAGTTAATGTAATGGCTTGCTTAATGTGACCCTTCTCCTGATCCATCATCACATCAGGTAACATGATATAATTCTGCAGGACAAGCCCTGAGCCATAGCTTTAGCATGGACTGGTATTTGGTGGTCAGCATTGTTCAGTGATTACAAGTTTTACAAATGAAGGGTTACTGCCAATGGGAATTTTTACGAATGCTTCACGTCCTAGAAGCACAGTGGGTTCAACCTGGAGCTAACTAAGCAGCGACTCAAAGAACTAAAACACCAGAGCTCCCCGGCCGTGTGGCCAGCAGATGGAGCCTGGCACCAAATGGCGCACTGGCCGCCCAGGGACAGCTCACCACTTGCATATGGTGGCTGTTGTCTGGGATCCAGGCATGAGACATCCCGTCACGAGACCCACCAGCAGCCGGGAGTTTAAACTCCCAGGCCCAAGGTCGCACCCCTCCCCAATCCCATTCACCGTCAAATGAAGGCTGCGGGTGGGTCCTGGACCTGCCTAGTCACAGAGACCTCCCCCCTCGGTGTACTCATTTCGAAGGGAGAAGCCCCCGGAGCACAGGCAGGCTCACCACGTGCAAATGGTGGCTGTCGTCTGGGATCCAGGCATGAGACGCGCCGTCCTGAGACCAAGTTTTTGACACTTTATAGAGTTTTCTTTTTAAAAAAAAGGATTTTTGTTCATATGTTGGAAAGGCAGAGTTACAGAGAGAGGGAGAGACAGAGACAGAATCTTTGATTTGCTGGTTCATTCCTCAAAGGGCCATCACAGGGAGAATGAGGCCAATCTGAAGCCAGGAGCCAGGAGCTATCTCCAGATCTCCCACCTTGGATGGCAGACATTGAAGCATTTGGCCATCCTCTGCTGCCTTCCCAGGCACATTTTGAGCAGGTCGATTGGAAGTGGAGCAGCCTGGACTTGATCTGACACCCATTTGGGATGCCAACCTTGCTGATAATGGGTAACCTCTTATGCCACAACACCAAGCGCCTCACTTTTATTTTACTTATTTGAAAGTGGCCGTGAGACAGAGAGATCTCCCTTGTGCCGGATTGTTCCCCAAATGCCCACAATTGCCAGACTTGGTCTGACTGAAGCTGAGAGCCAGGAACTCACTCCAGGGCCATGTGGGTGACAGGGATCCCACTGGCTGAGTCACCAATGTGCTGTGTTCAGGGTCAACAGAAGCAGGAACCATACTCCCAAGGAGAGCAGGACTGTAGCCCAGTCCTTAAACACAGACAGCAGGTGGCCCAAGCGCCAGCTGCACTGCCACCCAAGATACCCATCCCTTCTTACTGTCAGTGCATGTTAAAGGTGCAGGCATCATTATATCTCACCACAAATCATTTCAGCATGTTTATTATGAAATAGAGTTCAATCTTTTATTGATCCTCTTAAAAAATATGGGGATGGTGTTACAGCATTGGATTAAGGCATTGTCTGCAATGTGGTCATCCCATGCGGATGCTGGTTCAAGTCCCAGATGCTCCACTTCTGATCCAGCTCACTGTTAACTGCCTATGAAAGCTGTTGAAGATGGCTCAATTGATTGGATCCTGCAATCTCCATCGGAAACCTGGAAGAAGATCCTGGCTTCAGCCTGACCCAGTGCTGGCCACTATGGCCATTTGAAGAAACTGAAGATGGAATATCTGTCTCTTCTGCATTCCCTCTCCCCTAGTGTACCTCTAATTTTTAGAATGATTATTTAATTGAAAGAGTTAGAAAGAGAATTATCATTTGCTGATTCACTTCAAAAATACTTACATGGTGCCTGGCACAACCACTGAGGTGATCTTCCGCTGCCTCCCTGGGTGCATCAGCAGGGAGCTGGATGGCAAGTGAAGCAGCTGAGACTCCAACGGGCACTCCAATACAGGATGCTGGCATCACAAGTGGCAGCTTAACCTTCCATGTCACAACACCGGACCCAAATACACAACCATTAACATAGATAATGTTCCCCCACCTTGTCCCTGAATCTGTCTTGTGCAGCATTTGTGGCATCCTTATCGCCCTTCTGACCACACAGGCCTATGTTACCTCACTTAGTTCTCTCAGCTCCCCGAACCCTTGGAACTAACACTGTTCCAACTTCACAGCTAAATGGAGGGAGTTCCAGCCAGGTTAGAGATCAGATCCTGATGGGCAGTGCAGTCAGGGTTGCCAGCTGGCTCTCCTGGCTTTGCAGTTCCATAGGCTTCCCTATCTCAGTGGGGCCATCTAGTGGTCTGCTCATGTCCCTGTCCCCAGCCTGTTGCCTGTGCTGCTGCTTTCCTCTCCTGCTCCTCAGCTGTCCCCTTGCTGTTGTCTGGACCCAATCACCCTTCCTCCTGATGGGGCTTGGAAGATAACACACTGAAAATATAGTAACCTGGCAGCAGGGAGAACCACAGAAGCACAGAGGTGACTCTGGGCTCCCACGCCCTTTCTGTGTGTGTAAGAGAGCTGCTTGCTCATAGAGGAGTTCTCTGACTCAACCTGCCTCATAGCAGGACACAAAACCCTTTCTTTTAGTGGGTAGAAAAGGATGAGGACAGCCAGGCCTTGTGGGTTGCCCCTCCCCTCAGGGTTCTGCTACTGCCCAAGCATGCTTACACACAACACACTATTCAACAAACTTAAGTGTCAACATAGTTTTTTTCTGCATGCTCCTGTGTTATACAAAACTTGAACAATATCTATTTTGGTGCTTAGGTTAGGTTCACCAGGTTTTGTGCGGGGGTTGCTGCCCTGACTCCATATGTTCACTCTCCCATGTCGTGTGCCCGCATGAATGCGCCATCTCACTCTCTCTCTCCAGAATGTGGACATGCTCACAGGAAGGACCTGGCACAGTACCAGCATTTCCGTGTTCACAGCATTCTGAGCCTTAAATCTCCAAATGAAGCACCTGCAGGAGTGCACACAACAGGCACCGTGCCAGTGCTGAGCCTCCTCGCCATCACCCTCCTTCTCGCTGGAGTTCTCACATATGTTCTGTGCAAGCGCAAAAAGGAGAAGCTCCTGCAAGGTACTCCAGGTAGACCCACTTCAGAACACCTACCCCAGGGGACAGTCTTCTCTCTGACAGGGATCCTGCCACTCCCATCCTGTGGCTTTTTCTGCTAGAAGTGCCTGACCCATGTGGAGGGAGGAAAGTCACCATAGGTTCAGGGACCAGTGCTTACCTAGAATGCCAGGCAGAGAATGGTGACATAAGATGGAAGCTCAGCCAGCTGAGTGGGAGATGAAGCTCGGCTGAAGGCACAGGTCCATCCACTCCGTTCACAAATCTGTACTGCATACCAGTTGTGTACCAGGCCATAGAGTTTTATCTTTGGGGGATGAGGAGTTAAGATTTACCTTATTTATTTGAATGGTAGAGACACAGACTAGAGAGAACTTCCATTTGCTGATTCACACCCTAAGTGACCACAAAGGCTTCAACTGGGCCAAGCCGCAGGCAGGAGCCTGGAAGTCCATCTGGGTCTCTTACACAGGTGACAGGGACCAGGTACTTGTGCCATCTTTCCCTGCTTTCCCTGTGCATTAGCAGGGAGCTGGATCAGAAGTGCAGCAAGATTTGAGCCCATGGTACCACGGGGCTGCCCTCGGTCCATGTCTTTTTTCTTTTTCCAGACATATTTGTTTTCAGTTGTTTAGTTATGTATTTAAAAAATTTTTTAAATTTTATTAAAAGGCAGATTTACGGAGAGATGGAGAGACAGAGAAATATTTTCTGTCTGCTGGTTCGCTCCCAGGTGGCCACAACAACTGAGCTTTGCTGACCTGAAGCAGGAGCCAGGAACTTTTCCGGGGATCTCCTACACAGGTGCAGGGTCCCAAGGCTTTGAGCCATCCCTCCACTGTTTTCCCAGGCCACAAGCAGGTTGCAGAATGGGAAGTGAGATACAGCTGAGATACAAAAGAACACCCATATGGGAGCCGATGTAAGGCAAGCACTTTAGCCACTAGGCATCATGCAGGCGCAGTCTGTGTCTTTAAGAGTCTGAGTTTTAGGTCTAGCATGATGGCTCAACAGGCTAATCCTCTGCCTGTATCTCACATGGGTGCTGATTCCTATCCTGGCTGTTCCACTTCCCATCTCGCTCCCTGCTTATATTGTAGGAAAGCTATAGAAGATGGCCCAAAGCCTTAGGATCCTGCACCCATGCGGGAGACATAGTGAAAGCTCTCGACTTGGGATCAGATAAGTTCTGATCATTGCAGCCATTTGGGGAGTGAATCACTGGGTGGAAGATCTGGCTTTTCTTCTCTCTGTAAATCTGCCTTTCGAACCAAAATAAATAGATGTTTAAAAGATTCTGACTTCCTTTTTAAGCTGTCAATCCCATCTCCCCAAGTTCCTTGATCATCGTATACATTTTTTATTCTCTAGGTGTGCATTATGTGTCTGTGTAATCAATTTCAATGTCTGAGCAGCAAATGGAAGGATATGAGGTGAGTTTTGCTTTTCTATTTATCATATGAAGAGGGTCTAGCGCTATGGCTTCGTGTGTAAAGCCACAGCCTGCAGCACCAGCACCCCACTGGGGGCCGGTTCTAGTCCTGACTGCTTCACTTCCAATCCAGCTCCCTGCTGATCTACCTGAGAAGATACCAGAAGCTGCTCCAAGTCACCGGGACCAGTCCAGCCATGTCAGAGACCGAGAAATCCAGGCTTCAGACTGGCCAATTTCTAGCTTTGCAGCCTGAACTAGAAGGCAAGAGTAGCTATCTCTTCAATTCTTCAATTACTTTCTATTCCAAAGAAATAAATCTTTAAAGCAAAATATCAAAGAGGTCTAGTGGGGCCCAAGATGGTAGCTAGTGCCAAAAGTCCTTGCCTTGCATGTGGTGGGATCCTATATGGGTGTGGGTTCTAATCCCAGAAGTCCTGCCCCCTATCCAGCTCCCTGCTCATGGCCTGAGAAGGCTAAAGTTTGGCCTAGCTTTTGGGCCCTGCACCTATGTGGGACACCCTGGGGAGTCTCCTGGCTCCTGGCTTTAGATCAGCTCAGGTCTGGCCATTGTGGCCACTAGAGAGGGAATCTGTGGACAGAAGATCTTCCTCTCTGTCTCTCCTCATCTCTGTATATGTGACTTAAAAAAAAAAAAAGAGGCCTAGTGTTGCTGTACTGTGAGTTAAGCAGCCCTGTGATGCCAGCCTGCTATCCAAGTGCCAAGTTAATTCCCAGCTCCTACAGTTCAGGCCTGGGAAAAGCAGAAGGGTCCTGCTTGGGGGAATTAATCAGTAGATGGAAGGTCTGCCTCTTGCTCTTTTTCTGGAACTCTGTCAAATAAAACACATAATGGCTGGAGGCTTTCTAACCAGCACAGGTACAAAGAGCCAGGTGGGATGGCTCCCTTGGGGAAGGGAGACTAAGTGGGCCTTCGGGATACCCTATCCTGGGGATTTTGTTTTACAGCCAGGTGTGTTCAGGTGGGCCACATGGCTCCCTAGGGGTGGGGAAGGAGCTCAGCAGGCTTCAAGGTGAGTGGTTGTAGGGGAGCCCAGGGGGGGAAGGGAAGACCTTTAAAGATCAGTCTGAAGCCCCAGCACACGTGGGAGACCTGAGCTGTGGTAGTTAGCATCGACCATCATCGAACACCACTCACTGGTACACACTAAAGACAAGGCTGGGGCCTACCAGACAGTAACTGGTAGGGGTCACAGTAACTGCTGGGGTCCATGCAGTGACTGTGGATGACACGAAGGGGTGAAGAGAGGAGCTACCCTGTTTTCAGGGCGATGAGGAGCTTCCAGCTGTATGGCAAGGCCTGGCAGATGTCTCTCCAACCACCTCAACACAGTTTCATTTTTGCATGGACATTTAAATCACACCACTAAGAATTCTGTAATCTATTGAAGCATTGTTGTTTTCCATGTGAGATGATATTTGTAACCGATGTGAGTTTGGGAGTTAATGTTGCTGATCATGTCTTGGTGAGTGGTCCTTTAACAATTTACAATAAAGTCCATGCCATTTTAGGAAACCTTATTGTGTGCCTAACCATTCCCTTAGAATCTGGCCCAGACATGTATTGCAGCTTCTAGGGGAGGGCTTGATAAGTATCCTAAATATATTTTTTCTTCTTTTCTTTTGTTCATTTTTCATTCTTATTTTTTATTTTTAAGTATCCTAAATATTAATGAAAGCGATGGGACTATGAGCTGAAACTGCTATGGTGATAAATACAGTTACTGTGATGTTAAAGGCTAGCTGGTTTTTGCAATTTCTTTGGAGTATTGGAAATGTATCAGTTTTGGCCTCTTATGTAATTTTTGGCTAGAGGAATTAAAGGATGCTTTTATTAATATTACAGAGATAGGCTTTGAATTATTGTTTGATGGTTTACGGGGTTATAGAGCCTGTAGTTGTAGGGGGATTTAATATTTGAAACTTCTGTCTTGGATTTTTATGATTTTTCCCTTGTGACCTATTTCTCCCAATAAATGATGGGCAAGTGGTGGAAATAGAAATGTTGTGGGAATGTATTACTGATTAGCAGATAACTGCATGTGCCTTGGCCTTGGAGTCCTGGCTGTCGCCCAATGGCTACTACAGATTGATAATGGCTTACTTTGAAGAAACTGATTATAGTAACTTATAGAATTATCTTTAAGAGCACCTGGTTGACCATGAAGTAAAAAATTAATTTGTCCTATATCTGTGCATGCTGGCTTAGTTCTGAAGTTAAAGATAGCAAAATCAAGCATTTGTGCAGAGGCCTGTGATGTGTCTGAGTAAATAAAAAGGAGAGCTTCTTGAGCTGTTATGAGAGGGCATCAAGGGAAGGTGTCTGCGTCTTTTCTTTTGGCAACTCCACACCCCCTTCTCAAGCTCCAAACCCAGCTGGAACCGGCCTCCGGCAAGTAACCATCAATTACAATGTGATAAGGAGAAAGGTGAAGTTAGAATGGGCCATGATAATAACTAGTGTGTGAGAGAATCAGGTCTTGTGGCAGACTCTGTGCGGAATAAGTGGCCTCATCCCGTGGAAATGCAATCTCCACTGACACATCCAAGAAATGTGGACGAGAACAGGCCTGGCTGGGGAGCTAAGGGGATGCCCCAGCTGGGTTGGGAATCCCACTGGTGAGCATGAGAGCTGGGTTGAGGGCAGCAGGCTGGGCTGGCCATGGCTATACCCTCCCTCCCTCGGCACGGGTGTGGACTGGGACTGGGGAGCGACAGACTGGGCTACATTCCAGCACCCACTGGTACTTGTGAGTGTCAGGGTGGGAGTAGAACGGGCTGGGCTAGGTCTTCACTTTCAGTGAACCACATAAAAGTTCCTGGGCATGGACTAGGTGTGACTAGGCTTCAACAACCAACAGTAAGAACCAAAATGGGTGTGCGCTGGCTGAGCAAGGCTACTGTTCTGGCCAGGACAAGAGGTAGACAAAACCAACCTGGGCCATCCACTGATGTGCCCAAGATCTGCCTCTGGGAGGAGACCCAACAGAGGATCCTGGGAAACTCTTTTCTAGTGATGTAATCAGTGCAAGTGAGCACCAGAACCAAGTCAAGAAGCAGCTCTGACCATGCCAGCTTACACTACCTGCCAGCCTACATGTGGGTCAGGTCTAGGGACAGACCAGGCTTGACCAGTTCACAACATCCACTGGTAGATCTGAGAACCAGCTCAGAGTGTGGGAAGGGCAAGGTCAGGCCTCGACGCCAGCCAGCTCACACTGGGGATGCTGAGATGAGGTGAGCCATGCCAGCCTGGGGTCTGTGGGAGCCTGGTTTGTGAGCCACAGTGGGTGGGGAATCTGGTGTGGCTCAGTTGGAGTGGCCCAGGTCCTGGGCCCAGCTGCTCAATGGGTGCCAGGTTCATGAGCCCGAGGGATGGGGGATCTGTCGAGCCTCAGGTTACCTGGTCCTAGTCCTTGGACCTGCCTGTGAGCACAAAAGTTAGAGCAGTGGACACAGTTCTTGATGCATATGAAGATTGGCAGCACCATTGGTAGGAGGAGAACAGAGAAAATTGGAAACTACAGGAGCAAACAAGGACAGCAAAAAACTGGGTGAATGGAGACTTGAGGTCGACTACATCAGGCTATTAGACATAGGAATGGCTGTCTCACTCTGATACTGGCGAAATCCACAGCATTCCAGAACTATCCAAACCACTCTGTCAGAACCCTCAGAAAATACACTACATCGGGACCCTGTGTTGATATTGGGTGGAGGTTCCCCATCCCTGGGCACTGGCACATTTGGGAGTCTGGTTGTGGCTTCCCTCTTCAACTCTTCCCTTCCCCAAGAGACAAGAAATAGAAAATTTGGAAACAGTGATTTTCACCCAATTTTCCCTAACTCTCAATCCTTCCCACCCAGGTCAACCATGTAATCACCCTCAAAAGTAAAAAAAAAAAAAGAAAACCACCCAAACATGATAAAACAACTTCTGCATTCTTATTCTTTGACCCTACCTCCCCCCTTTTTTAAAGATTTGTTAAATTTTATTGCAAGTCAGATATACAGAGGAAGATCTTCCATCTGCTGATTCAAACCTAAGAGGACTCAATGCCTGGAGCTGTACCAATCCAAACCCGGGAGCCAGGACCCAGTTATGGGTATCCCACGTGGGTACAGGATCCCAAGTCCTTGGGCTGTCCTCAACTGCTTTCCCAGGCCACAAGCAGGGAGCTGGATGGGAAGTGGAGCTTCCAGGATTTGAACTGGCGCCTATATGAGATCCCAGCATATGTAAGGGAAGGACTTTAGCTGATAGACTACCAGGCAGGGCCCAATTATTATTTTTTTTTAATTTTAAAAATATTCTGTCATCAATTCTGTCTTTGCACTGGGTAGTGATAACTTACACCTTTTTTTAAGTGTTTGTTTTTTTTTTTTTTTTGCTACTAAAATTATTTTTATAGCTGTAGACACTGGCTTAGATCCCTGCCTCCTTCCCAGGGTGCCTGCCTGTCCCAGGTCTGTGTTCACACTCCTCCAGCTGACCTGCCCCAGCCCTAGCTGACTCCTGTTTCTCCCCTAATGCCTCAAGTGAAGGCCTGGCCTTGCCCTCCCTCCCTCAACCAGCTGCTTTCACTGCCTTAATCCCTGGCCCCATCCCTTTTCCAGGAAACAGTCTGATTTCTTCTTTTTCTAAAACTCATCTTTACTTTTATTATGTAAACCCTTAGTTCTTGTTTCACCTCCATTAGGAAAGAAGAACGCCTCCTCGTCGAGTCCAGCAAGCAGGAAGCTGGGCTTGCTGTGGTGAGGACCTGGGTAGGGCGCCTGGGAGAGCGCCTCCCTACTGCTGTGCAGAGCAGGGGCAGCTTGCTGAGTAGTAGGGCCACAGGCCTGTCCATCTCCACCTGCTGCCCCGGAGTCCTGCTCCACCCTGCCCAGCACAGCGTGTGGGCGCCAGGGGTGCTCCCTCATCCCACCAGTCTCCAGGTTCCGTAGCCCCCACCCCACCAAGGTGCCAGGGCAGGTCTCCCTCTGCCTGTGGGCCTTAGCTGTCCAGCATCTGCTCACAGGTGTGGGCGACATCACCGAGCTTGAGGCGGGCATAGTCCACTCGCTTCAGGGCCATCTGACAGTCCTTCCTGCAGGAGTAGCTGGAGCCCTCATAGGGCTGTCCTGTGGCCACCTGGGGGACAGTTAGCTCTCCTCAGTGGGCACACTGCCTCTGGCCCATCCCCAGCTTGGCTCTTGACTCGGTCCAGCCCCCACACTGTGAGAGGAAGAAGTGCATCCCTGCCAGGCATCTCCCAAGGCTGAGCCCCAGGAGAGGTGGGGTCTCCTTCCCAGCCCCGCACCGGGTGGGGGGCGTCCGTGCTGGTGCGCGTGCTGCCTCGCCTCCAGTTCACTTTCACTCCTGCCATCTGCGGGTCGCATCCCCCACCTGCACTTGAAGAGATTGGGAGAATGGGGGATGAGAGAATGGGAGCCCGCACTTGAACGTGGGCATTAGGGTTGGAGATGAGGAGCTCCAATGAGGTGAAGTTAGAGCCTCAAAATTCAAGGACTCAAACCCTGGGGTTGAATTGAAGATGGAGGTGACAGAAGAGGGTTCATCCCGGGTGGTATTGTCTGAGAAGTTTGTTCCCATCTGTCTCAGGTGGTTCATCCAACCCGAGTCTCTGCAAGAAGTGCAGCCCAGACAACTCTGCAACACAAGAATATTAATTGAGGATGCAGGCAAAGGAACCAATCAGCTGGGGTCAGATTTCCTTTCCTTCAGAGAGTGACACCCAGATGAGAGTTCAAATGGTTTTTATAGATGGGTGAGGCAGTTTTTATAGAAGGGAGGCAGCTGTGGGAAGCAGGTGAGTTGGGCAGCCATGGGAGGGTGTTAGATATACCGACCACCTGAGAAAGAAAATATTCAGCTGAGTGCATCATGGGAACCAAGATTACTGGTTTTGCATCTTGTACTTTGGCCTCCAAACAAGAAGCTGGCAAAGCATTTTGTACAGAAGCATAAACAGCCCATTTGTAAACATATTCAGGCCTGAACCAAAGGGACTGCACACTGGGACACGGGAAGGGGGAACCGGAGCTGGAGCATCCCCTGGGCTTTTGTTCATGAATCCTTAGCGGACCTAGAGCCTCTCTGGCAGTTCCCACTCCTCTGGTACCTGCAGCCTCTGCCACCTCCTTCAAGTGTTAAGTACCTCAGGGAAGTGGAAGGGTTGTGACCTTGGGTCACATGTCATGGCACTCTCCTCAGACACCCAAGGTCCACCTTCTCTGGGCTCAGGCTCTTGGTGGACTTTGGCTGCAGCCTGCCACGACATCACTGGGCACATCATCATGGTGGGTGGAGTTGCAATTAGTGCCTGGAATGTCTCAAGGTGCTCTCTGCCTGACGCCGCCCTGGCCTCACCCTTGGAATCTTCTTTCGTTTTCTCTCCCACATTCCTGCTCCCATTCCACAACAGAAGTGTGGTGCAGGATCTCTGTCTCCCAGGTTGTCCCTGCCGCGGGGAGGGATCCCTGGGTTGACCCAAGTGTCTGTGTGGAGTGCAGCGTGGGTTGCCAGGATTCTGGCCCACTGCAGCCAGTTCCTCTTGAGACATGAAATACAGCTAACGTCGCCGAGAAGTCAGCCACAGGACACACTCCGGGACCTGCGTGGAAGTCACACTGGTCGAGGCAGCTGTGTTCCCCGCTAATCACTGCCACCTTGCGAGATGACCCAGGAAGAAGCTCTCCTGCTGCTGCTGCTGCTGCTGAGTGGGCCAACTGTGCCAGGTGAGAGTTGGGGCAGGTCTGGCAGTGCTGGGGCGCAAGTCCCAGGATGGAGTAGGCTGCAGAGAGAGAGCACTAGCTCCATGGAGTTCCCTGTACAGCTGTGCAGCCTTCCAAGGCAGTCCGGCCCAGGAAGGGCGGCTTCCTGAGTGTAGGACAGACACATGGGTACAGGTAGGATTACCTGATTTAGGATGTGGGGAGTGGGGTGCTAAAGCTTTGGGTTTGGAATGGCCCTTGCAAGATGGCAGCTGGCCCATGGCCAGGAGGTGGAGCTGGTCTCACCAGCAGGTAAACAGGAAGTCACAGGAATAGGCTAATGCCCCCCGCTGTGGTACTGGCCTATCACGTAGCACCAAGTGACCCACGGGGAGAAATGATTGGTGGAGAACTATGTAAAAGTAGCCAGTAAACCCTAGACTAGGATGACAGATGGACGAAGACAGACAGATGGACGGTCGTGGGACAGATAGACAGATAGAAAGACTGGGTAGCAACGAGGAGACCTGGGGGCGATGAGGAGAAAGACGGGGTAATGAAGCAGAGAGTACGGGAAGAAATGTGGGAAGAAGGGAGGTGGAAGATGGGAGGAAGGGTGGCAGAAGAAGTGGGTAAGAAAGCTTAGGCGAAGCGGAGAGAAGGTTTTAAACGCAGCTGCTTTTGGCAGTGAGAGGTCTGGTTGCCAGGTTTCCTGGACCCTCAAGAGTATGTCTTGTTCATTTCTAGTGTCACCGCTGCTGGGTGGTCACTCGTATGGGGAGATTTTTGGCCTGTGCCGGCATAAAAAAGCGGCAGAGAAGAGATTTTTCCCAGCCTGCGCTGGCATAAGTGTATAAACAAGAGCAGGAAGGAAGAAAAGTGGCAGAGATGAGAACAAGGAACGGGATTTTATTTTCGCCTCTGAGGCGGTTAAATGGTATTAGCCCAAAGATGCGGAATTGCCCAAAGAGGCGGAATTTAGCCCTAACAATAGCCTAAGAAGAAATAGCCCTAAGAAATAGCCCTAAGAAGCAGATTTTAGCCCTAAGAGGTAGTGGTTTCTTGTTTCTGAGAGGCAGCATAGCCATTGGCAGTGACTGTTCATAAGATGGACCTGTGAATTAGATGTGATAGGAAGACTCCCAAACCCCCCAAAAGCAGGACCTACCACACCCCTTAAACAGCAGGAAGTAGCTACAGAAAATACAATTCTATGCCCCAGGGCAACCCTTAGAATGGGGGTTGGGAAGTCTCTAAGGAAATTAGGCAGCTAGTTCAGGGTCATGAGCTTGGAAGTCACCCACTAACCCTGGAACCTTGCTGGAAAGGACCTTAACACTCCATGGCCATGAAGGTGGTCAATATCAACGCCTGAAATTCATCTTACCCAGCAAAAAATAAAAAGGGGGGATATGTGGGGAGCAGGGTGCTGAACCCGCTCCTGGGTTTGGAAGGGCTGTTGCAAGATGGCGGCTGGCCCAGGGCCAGGAGGTGGAGCTGGTCTCACCAGCAGGTAAACAGGAAGTCACAGGAATAGGCTAATGCCCCCCCCCCCCAGTGATTACTGGCCTATCACGTAGTGCCAAGTGACCCACGTGGAGAAGTGATTGGTGGAGAACTATATAAAAGTAGCCGGTAAACACTGGACTAGGATGACAGATGGACGAAGACAGACAGATGGACAGACATGGGACAGACAGATAGAAAGACTGGGTAGCAATGAGGAGACTAGGGGGCGATGAGGAGAAAGACTGGGGAATGAAGCAGAGAGCATGGGAAGAAATGTGGGAAGAAAGGTGGTGGAAGAAGCTGGTAGGAAAGCTTAGACCAATGGGTACAGGCGCAGCAGAGAGAAGGTTTTAAACGCAGCTGCTTTTGGCAGTGAGAGGTCTGGTTGCCAGCTTTTCCTGGACCCTCAGGAGTATGTCTTGTTCGTTTTTACTGACTCTGCTGCTAGGTGGTGGTGACAGGGAAGGGCAGTTTCACAAGTGTGGGGCGAACACGTGGGTCCAGGTGGGATTGCCTGATTTAGGAGGGTGCGATGTTGGGATGGATCTGCAGTTTGCACACAGGGCAGAGGGGTGGGGGCTATGGGCATGTGCTTGGGGCTCTCCACAGGCGGGCCAGGGCAGATGGACAGAGGGGATCCCCCAGCCTGGAAACCTGCACTGACCACCTTTGTCCCATTCAGGATATGCCAATGAGGGCAGTGTCGCTGGCAGCTGTCACTGTGATAAGAGAATTCCTTCTGGCTCCCCGCCGCCGCCAGAGCTGATGGACCATCTCCAGAAGCATCTCTGGTCTTACCACCGCTGTCCAGGCTACATCAGGTGACCCCTTCTCTCAGGCCCTCGCCCACTCAGGCAGACCCAGTGCCCTCTCCAGGTTGCCCTGGCCTGCAGTTCTCTGCAATGTCTATGTCACACCTGACATGGACTCAATTTCGGGCCTTTGGATTAAGGAAACCACCAGGAGAAGGATTGGGATGGAGATGGGGACTGGGAACCCCAGCTAAGAGAGAAGGACCTTGTCCCCACAGGTTCCAACTGCGCAGGAGGAGTGTCTGTGGCAGCGTGCATGCTGGATGGGTTCAGGAGTTACTGCAATGCTTCAGGCTGAAGGGTGAGAGCTTTCTCAACCTCCCCAAGCTCAGCGGCTTCCACCTTGCCATTCTCTCTGCTTCTGCCCTTTCCTCTGGGGCTCTATAGGTTTCTAGAACTGTATTGGCTTAATTCCTGATGGCCAAACCTGGATCACCATCCTCTTCTTGGTTTTTGCCAATTTAACACTTCATGACTGTGAACTTCTTTTATTTTTCATGAAACAGTTCCATGGGCTCAGGGATTTCACTTCCTGCCCTCAACAAACATTTTGAAATCAAAAAACAGGTTTTATCATTTAAAAAACATTTTAAAAAATGATATATTAATTGGAAAGAGTTAGAGAGTCAGAATCTTCGATTTGCTGGTTCACTCCCCAAATGATCACAATACCCAGAACTGGGTCAATTTGATGCTGGGAGCCAGTTCTTCTAGATCTCCCACCTTGGATGGCAAGAGTCCTAGCACTCCCTCGATGATTTCCTGTCACACTTGTGAACAGGTGGATTGGAAGTGGAGCAGCCAGGACTTGATCTGACACCCATATGGGATGCCGACCTTGCGACAATGGTTTAACTTCTTATGCCACAACACAACCCCCTTAGTTTTATTTTAGTTCTTTAAAAATGACTGTGAGACAGATCTCCCATGTGTTGGTTTCTTTCCAAAAGCCCACAATTGCCAGGCATGGGTCTGATGAAGCTGAGAGTCAGGAACTCACGCTAGGGCCACGTTTGTGACAGGATCCCAATGGCTGAGTCACCAAAGTGCCATGTTCCAAGTTCCATAGTAGCAGGAAGCAGACTCCTAAGGAGAGCAGGACTAAACTCCAGGCACTTGGAGACAGAGCGCAGGTGACCCAACCACATGGTGCACTGCTATGCCAGGTACCCATCCATTCTTGGAACATGTTACCCTGATAATATGGAAACCTGGCAGCTGAGGATTCACTAAAGCATTGGAGGTGACTCTGGGCTCCCCCGACCTTTCTGTGTATGAGAGAGAGAGAGCTCCTTGCTCATAGAGGAGTTCTCGGCCTCACCATACCTCATAGCAGGTCACAAATGCTTCTTCTAGAGGGGCCAAGAAGAACAGGGAAGACAGACCTTCTGGGTTGCCCCTCCCCTCAGTTCTGCCACTGCCCAAGCATGCTTACACACAACACACTATTCAACAAACTTAAGTGTCAATGTAGTGTTTTTTTTTTTTTTTTTCTTGTGGGCTCCTGTGTTGTAGAAAACTTGGACAATATGCATTTAGGGTCTTTGGTTGGGCTAACCAGGTTTGTACAGGGGTGTTCACCCTGACTCTGTGGGTTCACTCTCACACCCAGTCCTTTCAAGAACCCGCCTCCTCACCTCTCTCTCCTTCTGCAGAATGTGGACATGCCCACAGGAAGGACCTGGCACACCACCAGCATTTCCCTCCTCACAACACTCAGACCCAGGAGTCTCCAGATGAAGCACCTGCAGGCATGCACACCACAGCCCGGACCAACCAGGCGACCACCCTGCAGGCCATCCAGATCCCCGGAGCACCTGGCAATGAAACCACCACTGTGCCTGGGAACCACCATGTGGGAGCTGGGCCTGAGGCTCGGGAGGACCAGAAACATCTAGAAGAAGGTGTAGGTTCTGCAGCTACAACAGCCACCAGGGCAGTGCTGAGCCTCCTTGTCATCACCCTCCTCCTCACTGGAGTTCTCACAAACATAAGTGCAGGCACAGAAGGCATCAGGTCCTGTGGGGCACTCCAGGTAGACTCCCTTTCAGAAACCTCCCTCAGGGCATAAGCCTCTCTCTGCTAGGGATCCTGTCCCTGTACCCTTAGTGGCTCTTTCTGGTAGGAGAAGTGATCTATTCAGGTAGAGGGAGGGGAACCACCAGGGACCCAGGGACCAGTGCTTACCTAGAATGCCAGGCAGTGAATGGTGACAAAAAGATGGTAACTCAGCCAGCTGGCTGGATGATGAAGCAGGGGCAGGGAGAAAGAAGTCACAGGTCCATCCACTCCATTCACAAATCTGTATTGCATACCAGCTGTGTACCAGGCCACAGAGTTTTATCTTTGGGAGAGGGGGAGTTCAGATTTACCTTATTGGGTCTGATACAATAGCCTAGCAGCTAAAGTCTTCATCTTGAACACGCAGCTATCCCATATGGGCGCTGGTTCTAACCCTGGCTGCCCTGCTTCCCATCCAACTCCCTCCTTTTGGCCTAGGAAATCAGTTGAGGACAGCCCTAAGCTTTGGGACCCTGCACCCACGTGGGAGACCCAGAAGAAGTTCCTGGCTCCTGGCTTTGGATCGGCATAGCGTTGGCCATTGCGCTCACTTGGGGAGTGAATCATCGGACAGAAGATATTCCTTTCTGTCTTTCCTCCTCTCTGTATATCTGCCTTTCCAATAAATAAATAAATCTTAAAAAAAAAATGTTATTAGAAAGGCAGATTTACAGAGAGATGGAGAGATAAGGAAAGATTTTCTAACTGCTGGTTCACTCAGACTGTGGCCACAACAGCTGAGCTTAGCTTAGTCTCTATATGTGACTTAAAAAAAAAAAAACAACTAAAAACACAAAAAGATAAAAAGAGGCCTAGTGTTGCTGTGCTGTGAGTGAAGCAGCCCTAGGATGCCTGTCTGCTATCCAAAGTGCCAATTTTACTGTCAACATGAGCTTGGAAGTTGATGTTAATAAGCTCTTACAAAAGGGCCTTTTACAATTCATGCTGTCTCTGTCTCTGCTGCCAATGTCGACCATCCTTGATCTTTAGCTCTCTCCTTTGTGATGCATTTCCTCCCTTAACTGATACAAGACTAAGCTGTAGAATGAGAATTGTAGTAGGAATGTGTTACTGACTGATAAGCGCCATCTATTGAGGTCAGGATGAATAACCTCCTGCATTGAGGTAAAACAAACTGCACAATTTATCTTGGAAACACCTGCTTGACCATGATGTAAAAGTCTGTGTCAGAGCTTGTGACTGCTTCTTTATAAATAAAGGGGACAGGGGCCCGGCGCGGTGGCACAAGTGGTTAAGGTCCTCGCCTTGCAAGCCCGGGATCCCATATGGCCACTGGTTCTATTCCCGGCAGCCCCACTTCCCTTCCAGCTCCCTGCCTGTGGCCCAGGAAGGCAGTCGAGGACGGCCCAAGGCTTTGGGAACCTGCACCCATGTGGGAGACCCGGAAGAGGCTCCTGGCTTCGGATCGGCATAGCATCGGCTGTTGTGCTCACTGGGGAGTGAATCATCGGACGGAAGATCTTCCTCTCTGTCTCTCCTCTCTGTATATTTGTCTTTCCAATAAAAAAAAATAATAAAAATAAATCTTTAAAAAAAAAAATAAAGGGGACAGAGCCTGATGCGGTGACCTAGTAGCTAAAATCCTTGCCTTGAACATGCCAGGATCCTATTTGGCCCTATCCCAGGGCCCCACTTCCCATCCAGCTCCCTGCTTGTGGCCTGGGAATGCAGTCTAGCACGGCACAAAGCCTTGGGGCCCTGCAACCTCTTGGGAGACCCGGAAAAAGCTCCTGGCTCCTGGCTTAGGTATAGCTCAGCTCCAGCCATTATGTCCTGTCTCTCCTCTGTGTATATCTGCTTTTTCAATAAAAATTAAATAAATCTTAAAAAATAATAAAATATAGAGGGCACAGCCATCTTGCATTGTCCATTAAGATGATGAAATCGTAGTGGTCCATTTCTTTCCTGCTTAAACCTACTCCAAGCACCCTTCTAGATTTCAAACTCAGCTGGAGCTGGACTCCGGTAGGGGAGGAGCTAGGCAGGCTTGAAGAAGAATGGTTGGGGGGCAGGACAGGAAAACCTTTAAAGATCAGTCTGAAGCCCCAGCGCACGTGGGAGACCTGAGCTGTGGTAGTTAGCATCGACCATCACCAAGCACCAATCACTGGCACACACTAAAGACAAGGCTGGGGCCCGGCGCGGTGGCGCAAGTGGTTAAAGGTCCTCGCCTTGCACGCCCGGGATCCCATATGGGCACCGGTTCTAATCCCGGCAGCCCCGCTTCCCTTCCAGCTCCCTGCCTGTGGCCTGGGAAAGCAGTCCAGGACGGCCCAAAGCTGTGGGAACCTGCACCCATGTGGGAGACCCGGAAGAGGCTCCTGGCTTTGGATCGGCATAGTATCGGCCCGTTGCGCTCACTTGGGGAGTGAATCATCGGACGGAAGATCTTCCTCTCTGTCTCTCCTCTCTGTATATCCGCCTTTCCAATGAAAAAATAATAAAAATAAATCTTAAAAAAAAAATTAATGAGAGTGATGGGACTATCAGCGGGAGCTGCAATGGTGATAAATACAGTTACTGTGACCTTAAAGGCTAGCTGGTCTTTGCAATTTCTTTGGAGCATAGGAAATATATCAGTTTTAGCCTCTTATATAAATTTTGGCTAGAGGAATTAAAGGATGCTTTTATTAATATTACAGAGATAGGCTTTGAATTATTGTTTGAGGGTTTATGGGGATATAGAGCCTGTAGTTGTAGGGGGATTTAATATTTGAAACTTCTGTCTTGGATTTTTAAGATTTTTCCCTTATGAATAGGGCAAGTGGAGGAAATAGAAATGTGGTACGGGGCCCAGCACTGGTCTAGCAGCCCAAATTCTCACCTTGAATGCACCAGGATCACATATGGGCACCGGTTCTAATCCTAGAAGCTCCACTTCCCATCCAATTCCCTGTTTCTGGCCTGGGAAAGCAGTTGAGGATGGCCCAAATCTTTGGGACCTTGCACCTGTGTGGGAGACCTGGAGGGAGTTCCTGGCTCCTGGCTCCAAATCAACACAGCACTGGCCATTGTGCTCACTTGGGGAGTGAATCATCAGATGGAAGATCTTCCTCTCTATCTCTCCTATTCTCTGTATATCTGACTTTGTAATAAAAATAAATAAAAATAAAAAAATTTTTTTTAAAGAAATGTAGTGGGAATGTATTACTGATTAGTAGGTAACTGCATGTGCCTTGGCCTTGGAGTCCTGGCTGTCACCCAATGGCTACTACAGAAGATTGATAATAGCTTACTTTGAAGAAACTGATTATAGTAACTTATAGAATTATTTTTAAGAGCACCTGGTTGACCATGAAGTAAAAAATTAATTTGTCCTACATCTGTGCATGCTGGCTTAGTTCTGAAGTTAAAGATAGCAAAATCAAACATTTGTGCAGAGGCCTGTGATGTGTCTCAGTATATAAAAAGGAGAGCTTCTTGAGCTGTTATGAGAGGGCATTAAGGGATGGTGTCTATGTCTTTTCTTTTTGGCAACTCCACACCCCCTTCTCAAGCTCCAAACTTGGCTGGAACCGGCCTCCGGCAAGTAACCATCAGTTAGAATATGATAAGGAGAATGGTGAAGTTAGAATGGGCCATGATAATAACTAGTGTGTGAGAGAATCAGGTCTTGTGGCAGACTCTGTGCGGAATAAGTGGCCTCATCCCGTGGAGATGCAATCTCCACTGACACAGCCAAGAAATGTGGATGAGAACAGGCCTGGCTGGGGAGCTAAGGGGATGCCCCAGCTGGGTTGGGAATCCCACTGGTGAGCATGAGAGCTGCGTTGAGGGCAGCAGGCTGGGCTGGCCATGGCTATACCCTCCCTCCCTCGGCACGGGTGTGGACTGGGACTGGGGAGCGACAGACTGGGCTACATTCCAGCACCCACTGGTACTTTTTTTTTTTTCTTTTTTTTTTTTTATTTTTATTATTTTTTCATTGGAAAGACGGATATACAGAGAGGACAGACAGAGAGGAAGATCTTCCGTCCGATGATTCACTCCCCAAGTGAGCGCAACGGGCCGATACTATGCCGATCCGAAGCCAGGAGTCTCTTCTGGGTCTCCCACGCGGGTGCAGGTTCCCAAAGCTTTGGGCCGTCCTCGACTGCTTTCCCAGGCCACAAGCAGGGAGCTGGAAGGGAAGCGGGGCTGCCGGGATTAGAACCGGCGCCCATATGGGATCCCGGGGGTGCAAGGCGAGGACCTTTAACCACTTGCGCCACCGCGCCGGGCCCACCCACTGGTACTTGTGAGTGTCAGGGTGGGAGTAGAACAGGGTGGGCTAGGTCTTGACTCCCGCTGAACCACATAAAAGTTCCCAGGCAAGGACTAGGTGTGACTAAGCTTCAACAACCAACAGTAAGAACCAAAATGGGTGTGGGCTGACTGAGTAAGGCCACTGTTCTGGCCAGGACAAGAAGTAGACAAAACCAGCCTGGTCCAAGGACCCACTGATGTGCCCAAGATCTGCCTCTGGGAGGAGACCCAACAGAGGATCTTTTCTAGGGATGCAGTCCATGCAGGTGAGCACCAGATCCAAGTCAAGAAGCAGCTCTGACCAGGCCAGCTTACACTACCTGCCAGCCTACATGTGGGTCAGGTCTGGAGACAGACCAGGCTTGACCAGTTCACAACATGCACTGGCAGATCTGAGAACCAGCTCAGGGTGTGGGAGGGGCCAGGTCAGGCCGCAACGCCAGCCAGCTCACACTGGGGATGCTGAGATGAGGCGAGCCATGCCAGCCTGGGGTCTGTGGGAACCTGATTTGTGAGCCACAGTGGGTGGGGAATCTGGTGTGGCTCAGTTGGAGAGGCCCAAGTCCTGGGCCCAGCTGCTCAATGGGTGCCAGGTTCATGAGCCTTGTGGATGGGGGATCTGTCGAGCCTCGGGTCACCTGGTCCTGGTCCTTGGACCTGCCTGTGAGCACAAAGGTTAGAGCAGTGGACACAGTTCTTGATGCATATGGAGACTGGCAGCACCATTGGTAGGAGGAGAACAGAGAAAATTGGAAACTATGCCAGAAAACAAGGACAGCAAAAAACTGGGTGAATGGAGACTTGAGGTCGACTACATCAGGCTATTGGACATAGGGATGGCTGTCTCACTCTGATATTGGTGAAATCCACAACATTTCAGAACTATCCAAACCACTCTGTCAGAACCCTCAGAAAATACACTACATCGGGACCCTGTGTTGATATTGGGTGGAGGTTCCCCATCCCTGGGCACTGGCACATTTGGGAGTCTGGTTGTGGCTTCCCTCTTTAACTCTTCCCTTCCCCAAGAGACAAGAAATAGAAAATTTGGAAACAGTGATTTTCACCCCATTCTCCCTAACTCTCAATCCCTCTCAATCCTTCCCACCCAGGTCAACCATGTAATCACCCTCAAAAGTAAAAAAAAAAGAAAACCACCCAAACATGATAAAACAACTACTGCATTCTTATTCTTTGACCCTATCCTCTCCCCCACTTTTTTAAAGATTTGTTAAATTTTATTGCAAGTCAGATATACAGAGGAAGATCTTCCATCTGCTGATTCAAACCTAAGAGGACTCAATGCCTGGAGCTGTACCAATCCAAACCCAGGAGCCAGGACCCAGTTCCAGGTCTCCCACGTGGGTACAGGGTCCCAAGGCCTTGGGCTGTCCTCAACTGCTTTCCCAGGCCACAAGCTGGATGGGAAGTGGAGCTTCCAGGATTTGAACTGGCGCCTATATGAGATCCCAGCATATGTAAGGGAAGGACTTTAGCTGATAGGCTACCAGGCAAGGCCCAATTTTTTTTTTTTAATTTTAAAAATATTCTGTCATCAATTCTGTCTTTGCACTGGATAGTGGTAACTTATACCTTTTGTAAGTGTTTTTTTAGCTACTACAATTATTTTCATAGCTGTACACACTGGCTTAGATCCCTGCCTCCTTCCCAGGGTGCCTGCCTGTCCCAGGTCTGTGTTCACACTCCTCCAGCTGACCCGCCCCAGCCCTAGCTGACTCCTGCTTCTCCCCTAATGCCCCAGTGAAGGCCTGGCCTTGCCCTCCCTCCCTCAACCAGCTGATTTCACTGCCTTAATCCCTGGCCCCATCCCTTTTCCAGGAAACAGTCTGATTTCTTCTTTTTCTAAAACTCATCTTTACTTTTATTATGTAAACCCTTAGTTCTTGTTTCACCTCCATTAGGAAAGAAGAACGCCTCCTCGTCGAGTCCAGCAAGCAGGAAGCTGGGCTTGCTGTGGTGAGGACCTGGGTAGGGTGCCTGGGAGAGCGCCTCCCTACTGCTGTGCAGAGCAGGGGCAGCTTGCTGAGTAGTAGGGCCACAGGCCTGTCCATCTCCACCTGCTGCCCCGGAGTCCTGCTCCACCCTGCCCAGCACAGCATGTGGGCGCCAGGGGTGCTCCCTCATCCCACCAGTCTCCAGGTTCCGTAGCCCCCACCCCACCAAGGTGCCAGGGCAGGTCTCCCTCTGCCTGTGGGTCTTAGCTCTCCAGCATCTGCTCACAGGTGCGGGCCACATCACCGAGCTTGAGGCGGGCATAGTCCACTCGCTTCAGGGCCATCTGACAGTCCTTCCTGCAGGAGTAGCTGGAGCCCTCGTGGGGCTGTCCTGTGGCCACCTGGGGGACAGTTAGCTCTCCTCAGTGGGCACGCTGCTGCCTCTGGCCCATCCCCAGCTTGGCTCTTGACTCGGTCCAGCCCCCACACTGTGAGAGGAAGAAGTGCATCCCTGCCCGGCATCTCCCAAGGCTGAGCCCCAGGAGAGGTGGGGTCTCCCTCCCAGCACCGCACCCAGGCCCACCTGGGTGAGGTAGCGGATCTGGGCCGACAGCTCCGCCTCCACGTGCTGCACCGACGTGGTGAAGGCCGCCGCCTGCCGGTCGAGGAGCCGCTCGTTGGTTTTCTCCTTGGACAGCTCCAGGATGACCGTCCCTGCAGGGGCGGGGAGAGGGCTGACGGCGAGGGGAGGCGCGGGAGAACCCGGCCCCCGTGCCCGCCCCAGGCGGGATGCCCTGCTCCTGGCCCGCGCATGCGCCGAGCCTCCCTCCCTATCCAGGTTGGGCAGGAGCGGTCGGGCCAGTGCGCGTGCGTCCTCGCCTCCCGACTCGCCTTCACCCCCGCCATGCGCTCGTCGCGTCCCCCACCTGCATTCTGAAGGATGGCGCCAATTTCCCTTTCGATGTCCTCCAGGGCGCGAAGCCGCTCGTTGGCCAGGCTGTAGGTGGCCATCGTCCTTGGAGGAACCGAGACCCGGTTTTCTCTTTAGAAACCTTGTGCGACTCTTCAGGGCGGAAGTGCGTATGGTTTCCGCGACTGCGCTGAAGGCGTGCGCGCTCTGACTACAATTCCCAGGATGCTCAGCGCCGTCTAATCCATTTGGTCCACTCACTGAACTACAACTCCCAGGTTTCCCTGCGCCTCCACCGCCGAACCACCAGTGGTAAAAGGACAGGAAACTTCGTTAGGCTGTCCACTTTAGACTTCATGACGCTCGCCCATAGTTACTTCATTCTGTAAGAATATATAAGGGCGTTCAGAGTGATGGAGGGAGTTTTGGAGTGTTTCTTTAATCTGGAGCCACGCGCCCTTTTCACCGTCCTCTGAGGAAAGCTTGACAGTGGTAATGTGTGATTTTTCTCCTCCACGCATTCACCTGACCGTGAGCCCACCCGAAGCACTAACGCGTTATCAGGTCCTAACAGCCTTTCTGCCTTTTCGTTTCTGGCCACCTACGATGCGCAGGGCCATGCGGAGAGGAAGGGGAAGCAGGTAGTTGCTCAGATGGTCGTGAATGGACGTGGTGTTTGAGATCGGCCTGTGTCTGTTCCACCTGGAAGGGGTGATGAGAGGTTGGCTAAAAGGGGCAGCTGCCCGGGGCCAAGCGCGGTCCTGAAGGGTCCAGCGAGAGCGTCAGTGTGGAGTGTGGCGGCCTCGTGTGGACCTTGCTCGGACTGCACAGAAGAGCTGAGTCAGAAAAAAGATTGTGTACTTTGGGAGGCCTTGGAGGATCCTATTTTTTTTTTTTTTTTCAAAGGCAGAGTGACAAACAAAGGAGAGAGAAATCTCCCACCTGCCGGTTCATTCCCCAAATGGTTGCAGCCATTGGGCTTGGGTCAGGCCATACAGATGTGAACCTAGTACTCCAGTCAGCCTCCTAGGGTATTGTACGGACAATCAAGCACCTGGGCTGTCTTCCACCACTTGCTCAAGCAACCAGGTCAGGAGCTGAAAAACTGGAGCTGCCTGGGCCTGAACCAGCGGTAATGGGTTCCCAGGCCATGGCTTTATGTGCTGTGCCACAACGACCACATTTACCCTAATGAAAAGGTCACTCTTAAGAACTAATTGAAGATCATCTGCATGAAACCAGTTTGTTTGGGGGTTTGCAAATTAAGGGAGATGCAGCTAAGCTTGACCAACCTAGCATTTAACCTCACCTTTCACTAAAATCTGAATTAAATAACACTAAGGCTACTTTATTTTTTTATATTTTCACATTATTTCAAAGGCAGAGAGAGAACTTTTGATCAATTGGTTTGTCCCCTGGGTGCCAATGACAGCCAGGGCTGGACAGGATGGAGTCAGATGCTTGGAACTCTACCCGGGTCTCCCAAGGCAGAGGCAGAGACCCAGATGCATCTGGGAAGCTGGAATCAGAAGCAGAGCCAAAACTTAAACCAGTTAATCCCTATGGGATTTAGGTGGCCTGAGTGTTTGTCTCAGTGTATGTATGTATAAAAGAAGGCCAGAACTTCTTTATATGTTAGTTTTTTTTTTTTTTTTAGATTTATTTTTTTTATTATTTTGCTATTGGAAAGGCGGATATACAGAGAGGAGAGAGAGAGAGAGAGGAAGATCTTCCGTCCGATGATTCACTCCCCAAGTGAGCGCAACGGGCCGATACTATGCCGATCCGAAGCCAGGAGCCTCTTCCGGGTCTCCCACGCGGGTGCAGGTTCCCAAAGCTTTGGGTCGTCCTCGACTGCCTTCCCGGGCCACGGGCAGGGAGCTGGAAGGGAAGCGGGGCTGCCGGGATTAGAACCGGCGCCCATATGGGATCCCGGGCGTGCAAGGCGAGGACCTTTAACCACTTGCGCCACCGCGCCGGGCCCTATATGTTAGTTTTTGTTTGTTTGTTTTTTTGTGTTTTTTTTTTTTTTTTTTTGAAAGACACTTCCAGAGCTGAGCTGATCAGGAGCTAGGAGCTTCTTTCAGGCCTCCCACATGGGTACAGGGGCCCAAGAACCTGAGACATCCTTTGCTGCTTTCCCAAGCCATAAGCGGAGAGCTAGATTGGCAGTGGAACAGCACCCATATGGGATGCTGGCACTAAAAGCTGTAGGCTTAGCTTATTCTGCCATGGTGCCAGCCCCACCCTATGGTATTTTTAAAAATGACCAAAGTGGGGCCAGCATGTGGTTTATCAGGTTAGGCATCTGCCTGCTGTGCCAGCATCCCATTTGCATTCCATTTCCAGTTCTGACTGCTCCACTGCCTATCTCACTCACTGCAAATGTGCCTGGGAGAGCAGCGGATGATGGCCCTGCTACCCATGTGGGAAATCTGGATGAGCCTCCCAGCTTCTGGCTTCAGCGTGGCCCAGTCCTGGCTGCTGTGGCCATCTCAGGAGTGAATCAGTGATTAGAAGATCTCTCTTCCTAAATAAATAAAAATAAAACTTTTATTTTTAAAAAAAAAAAGGAGTCACAAAGATAAAGGGAGAAGGGCTAATAACAAAACTTTAGGTGGAAGCTAGACAATGGTCTCTGCTGTAGCAGTGAGGTCAGCCACCCTTGCACATGACTTGGCTGGCCCGAGGCTCCATGGCGTCGTATCCACCTGTCATGAAACTGTTCTCAAATCAGGGAGGTTATTGAAAGCAGCTGGACTACCAGATCTCCCCTTCACATGTGTCCCCTCCCCAGCCCAGCTGCACGCTGAGAGGTTCCTTGGTTAGAAATGGAAAACCCATCTCTAGTGTTAGCTTGGAGGACAGCCGGGCACAGGTGAGGGTGAGTGTTCTAGAGTGGTGGTTTTTAGATGGGGTAGTTTTTACTTTTCGTGACAAATGCTGGACATCTCTCCTCTGGGGGATTTGATGAGTCAAAGGCAAGAATTGAAGATATCATTGCTGGGGGATCTCCAAGGCCATGAGTCAGAGCTCCTCAAAGTGAAACTCAGTGGTTGCTAAGTCCCCCCGTGTGCCTGGGATTTCTCAGCGCCTTGCTCTGAAGCCTGTGCAGACCAGAAAGGAGTTCTAGATGTTTGAGGAAACATTCCATATTAGCTTTGTCATTCCATTAAGTACTCGAGACAAGACTCTTGGGAAGAGGAGGACTTGTTTTGGCTCATAGTTTAGGAGGTTCACAGTCCAAGATTGGGTGGCTGCATTGGTGTGCTGTCCAATGAGGGTGATGGACAGTAGAATGTGTGCCGAGGGAGGACCACGTGGCAAACCAGGAGGATGAGAGAGAAAGGAGGCTTGTTTGTCTTTCCTCTGGATGCGGTCTCTATAAAGCCACCATGACTTAGGCCTGGGGCCTCATCCCAGCAACTAACTGGTACAGTCTCATCACTTAGCAGGGCCCCACTTTTAGAGTGACCACAGTTGGATTAAGTGCCATCACAATCCGGGAATGTGACCCTGGGACTCAAGTCCTTAACACAGTGGAATGCTTCAGAGGACCCCCAAACTATTATCCAGACCAACACTTTTGTTATATGATTTTTAGAAAAAGATTTATTGATTTAGGATTAGAGAAGGAGAGACACCCCAAATGGCTGCAATGGCTGGAGCTGGGCCAGGCCTGAGCCAAAAGCCTAGACCAGGAGCCCAAGCACCTGCACCATCCTTCACATCCTTCACAGTCCTCCCTGTCATCTAGTTGGAAAACCCAGATGAAGCTCTTGGCTCCTGGCTTTGGGTTGGCTCTTAAGTTTTAGAGGGAAATTGTGGGACTCTTGTAGGGAATAAAGCAAACGAAAAGGAATGGCAAAGAAAAGAAAATAAGAATCTGTCCAGGAGTCTTAATTCTAAGGGAGATCACAGGGAAAAATAAGATGAAGAAAGGCCTTGGTTGGTGATAGCATTGTGGCACAGCAGACTAAACTGTCACCTGTGACACTGGTTCATGCTGGCTTGTGTCTCAGCTGCTGCACTTCTGACCCAGCTTCCTGCTCATGCACCTGGGAAAACTGTACAAGATGCCTTAAGTACTGGGGTTCCTGTACCGGGGGTGGGAGATGATACCTGATAGAGGTCCAGTCTCCTGGTTTTGACTTCGTTAGCCACTGTGGCCATTTGGAGAGTGAACCATCCGATGGAAGATTTCTTTCTTTCTCTCCATCTCTCCCTCTCTCTCTGTGACTCTCCCTTTCAAACAAGTAAATATTTTTAAAAGGCAAAAGATTTATATGACCTAAAGAGAAACCAGAGTATATCAAACAAGTAAATATTTTTAAAGAGAGAGAGAGAGAGAGACAGGGTTTGTGTTTGCCCAATGTCATGGAGGAAAATAGACCCACAAAATGGAACACTAGACTCAGAACAACAACAACAAAAAAATGTTTGGCAAAGACTTCCAGAGGGCAAACGACCACATCTGCCGATCGGCCGTAGGAGTAACGGTAGATTTCTCAACAGTCGGCACTGTGAGATGGTGGAGTGACGCCCGCCACATTTGGGGGGAAGAGTTCATCCAACCTTGAAATCTGTACTCTAGCCGGGGTGAGATGAAAGCTGGAAACCAGTGACTCAACTTCAAACTCTAATTTGTTAGAAATGCCGCGCCCTGTTCCTGCCCTAGATACACAGAACCAGTATGTGTGTTTTATGGTGTCCACGCGGTTTGTATGCACAATGAAATCAGAGTTCTGGCTGTAGGGTAGTGTTGTTTGCATTGCTCCCATCCCTGGATGGCACCTGACAGGAGGGTTGGGGGGTGGGGAGAGAATGTGGAGGAGGCCGACCTCTCACAAGCCTGGCTCTTCTCACAAGGTTCCTGCTCTGGAGAAAAGATTTCAGGAGGTATTTAGAGTTTCCCACAGGCAACTCCTCAGTTAAAGTAGGAGAGAGACATTTTTGATATGGGTAAGGTCTTGACATTTTTGATTGATGTTGTGGTACAGCAGGTTAAGTTTGGGCACCCCAGACTGAAGCTCAGGTTCCAGTTCCAGTAGCTCTACTTCCCATCCAGCTTTCTGCCAGTGTGTCTGGGAAAGCGGTGGATGATGGCTTGAGCGCTTTGGCCCCTGGCATCCATGTGTGAGGGCTGAGTGGAGTTCTG